ATTTTAGGGAGAAATATTATATACAGGATATAATTTGGTATCTAAAAAGTAAGGACATCTTCAACTTTGTAAATATCAGGAAAATAACGGTTGAATGATTTTCATACCATTACCGGAAGTTAAGTTTGAGTCCGCTTTACAGAAATCAAAAATTGCATGTTTAACAAAACATTTGGCAATAATATGGGTTTTTAAGGGTTTGTATCTGTTCATTATAAGTAATGCAGCAATATTTCGAAAATTAAATTCTCCTTTCTTTTCCGAAAGCGATGCCAAGGCTTCCTGAAAATGACTTATGTACGCATTTCCATTGCTCTAGCTGGGAAATCTCGAAGTAAAGGTGATGGAAAGTTGCAGATGCAAATATGCACTACAGCACGCCTCAACAGTCTCTTACGTATCATTAACATGAATGACAGTCCTTGGACCGGAAATCCAAGGGTTACTACACTGCGCTAGGCTAGAGAAAATTCGACCTCATCATCTGAAAAACAGGCATTATTCATTTTCTTTAGCTCTTATCTGATAACTGCTTTTTAATACAGTATTTTTCATATTTTACTTTTGCAATATGCATTTATGAAATATATTGGCTAGGATTATGCTTGCCCAACAAAGATACAATTTTCTATTCACACCTCAGTTTTTGATGCAAGTTTTCTGAGAGTTTCTTAATACCTTTATGTTTCAAAACACTTCATAATGGTATATTTCATACTGAAATTTTTTTTGCAGGTTAATATAACTTTATTTAGTCTTTCTTTAGTATATCAAGAACATTAAAAATACCATACATTTATTGATCGAGGGCAACTTGCGTTTTGCGGTTTAACGGCCTGCAACAGTTTGGTTCGAGGGGTCGACAAAACGCATTTTGCCCGTGAACACAGTCAATAAATGTTTTGTTATACCTTTTATTTATTTATTTATTTATTTATTTTTTGACATACGCGTATCTTGTGCTGGCATCCAAGATGTAAATTTCCTTTACACACACTGCGGTAAAACTCGGTCAATTCACCAATGAATGCAAATAAAATTCAGCTGATCCCGCCCACAGTGTGACGTAAGCGGTCCAATATCTCATCGACAGGTCCAATATCTCATTCTGCGGTCAAACAAAGATTTTTTATGAAACAGTAAAACATTGGAAATGTTAGACTTTTTAAATTTAGATTTATATAGGAACAATTTTAAAGGTATGAAAAAGTTATTTGTTTTTCATAAGAAAATTTAAGATTGGTCCATATTTACTGAATTTGGACGAGGTATATGTGTTTAATATAATATCCATAGCAAGAGCATTATAGTGTGGATACACTACAATCACCTTTTTAACAGGTCAAGCTTGTAATTCCTATGGTATGGTTCCCCAAAAATTGGGAGGAAATCGATTGAGGTATTCATAGCATTTTCAATGCATTTTTTGACTAGCAAGGCTTGTCTTCCACGTTTACATGCAAGTTTGTATCAGTATTATATATATATATATATATATATATATATATATATATATATATATATATATATATATATATATATATATATATATATATATATATATAAACACACTAGTCTTACAATTACTAAAAAATGTTTGTACTCCACAATTAAGGAATAGTGTGTCACCAATGTTACTGGTATTAAAAAAAAACTCTACAGGGGTGAGTTCATCCTCAAAACGTCAGGGGGTCCTGGGTCAACACATTGCCCTTGGGCACCAGATAAATTTCATTTGATATTCTACTGGTTGACTACAGCGACGTCCTTCGGGAAAAATACAAATCTTGATTGTTTTCTTACTGATCTCTCGACCATTCACATTAATTCCATCGGTGAAAAACAACCTGTAAAATGTGCATTGAGGTGTCAACTACTTACTTTCTGTTTACGTTTTATATCAATTAAAAAAGTTGAAAATACCAAACAGTCATTGATCTCAAAAAATCTGTAAACAATACAATTCTGTGAAGAGGGCATAAAACACGGACCCCCTGAAAATCCCAGAGGAGGGGTCAGATGCCTAGGAGGAGTAAGCATCCCCTGTTGACCGGTCACACCCGCCGTGAGCCCTGTGTATTGATTAGGTAGAAGAAACATTCCGTAGCCTAATTCAGTATAAAAACAAAAGGGCTAACAATTGGTATGAAACAAGTCAGCCAAAATACGACCCAAAGATAAGGTTATGCTAGGAAATGCTGACTTTTAACAAAGTTGTTGAAATCCCTGTAACATCAACTTACCTGTCAGTAGCCTGCCTCGTTTTAAAATTTGATCGTACTCGGAGCATGCTCTTGAGTATCGAATAAGTTGGGAGATTCAAACACCATATGCAGGTGATAGGGGGATAAGGAAAGTTGACGATGGAAAAGTTGAAGTCATCTTGTTTGTCATAAAAGTACGAGGGCACTTTAGATTGGTATTCGGCAGGAATTTGGGCGCACTTGAAAAGTGAAATTTTCATTGATCTGTCACATGAAATTTTAGCATTTTTTTATGTATCGGGTTCCTGTGAAATGTGAAAGGGAAATATTTTCCTGATATTGTGTTTTGATTTGCTAAAAAATAACTTGAAAATTGGCTAGATGAGTAATTTGTACGAAATGTAACATTTTTAAACATGTTTTTCAAAACATTTGCTATCTCTGGGTCATCTTTCCTTGACTTTGAAACGTTATTTGTGCGCATTTTAATTCAAAGAGACAAACAAACATTTCTTTTTAAAAAAATGTAGAGATGACCAGAGACCATAAAAAGTGACCTTTTTCGAAAAAAAAAAAAACAAACAAAATAATCCAATGTGTGAATGCGGTGCTTCATTGTTGTTTTAAAATCCGTAATATTTGTGTAGCGATGATAGCTCAGTAGCATGCGTTACCCGTCCAGTGTAATAGAATCGAGCATATTTTGGTTCGATCCTCACATGGATCGTTAAAATTTCTTTTAATGCAAATAATCAATTCTTTTATCAGTTTAATTTTATGTACTGTTTATTTTAAGATGTATGAATTATGGTTCTGTTGCACCGAGCGCGAAAGAAATTGTTCCAACCTACTGATACTTTGATGTAACTCTATTTAACTATACCCTTATTATCTTACAGGTATTTATTTTTTATGTGAAGCATTACTGTGTTATAGTAAATATTAAGATAAGCGGACTGAAATATAACAATTTGACAAGATATTTCAAACCAAACGTAACATTTTCCTATGTGCGTAGCTTTGGAAAGTCTGTCCAGCTGTGGTCAGCTGACCAAATCATGGACATTTAAACTATAAATGTTTCGTACAGATGATTCCTGCAGATCACACGCTAAATACGCCCATTTTCTTTAGTTGTTAGTTGACCCTTATCGTCTATAGTCATTAAAACATCCAAATATGGAACAGTTGAGGCAGGCTCTGTGGTGTCTTTTATTTCAAGTTCGCTGGAGGTGCATTTATTTCGAGTTCACTGGGATATATCGGGCCGATATTTGAATGGAAATAACTATTGTTCATTAATAATACATCGCCGATTATCTAAAAGTTGAGTTGAAGGCCACAGCAAGTGTTTTCTTCTTCTCATGTAGAAGTTTTTGAATAAATTCTGCTTCGTACGAATACAAATAAAGGGGCACAATTAGTGCCCAATGAAATTTCCAACAGTTTGTCGGAAGACCTGACCTCCGAAAACTGCATAAATGTTGGCAATGATCAACTTATGAAAGCCCCGATCTGATTGATGCTTCTCAATTGCAATAATAGAGGCAAGGAGAACAGGTCTGGACGATTTCCAAATATGGAAGTCAAGAACGATAACTGAGTTTCTATAAATATACATCATATATACACGTGAATATTTTTCTGCCCAATCAGACAATAGCATTTTTACACACCCCAAAACATATTTCGAAGGAACAAAAGAGAACATGTGCTTTTGTTTTTTTTCCTCAAAAAGATTTTTTGGACAAAAAATCTATAGAAGTAAGATGAAAAGTTTGGAAGAATAAGGTATTCCCCACATATTTACCGTGAATGAACCTGACATTTTCATCTCGGAAAAGAAAAAAAAATTATGCATGTACATGTAACTATGCGATCGTTTACGGAGGTGTAGATCACACCGACAAGCTATTATAAAGTACAATTGTAACATTTAGCAGAACATACTCTTATGCTGGTAAATATAATTTTGCTTAGCCGTCCGATTTTCATCGATAATGCGTAGTCTCCATGTGTGTAGCTCTACTGCACACAAGTATTCATCCTTTAGACTACATATAGTTTAAAAATAACACGGGTTTCATGAGCGCCGAATATCATGTCATATACACTTTAAATGGACATAAAAGAAAGGTGAAAAACATGGAGAAAGGGGATGTTCATGAATGCTTTTTATCACCATATCTTACATGTACCTCGCGTATATCAGAAACTGCATGGACGATTTTGTAATAAACACCCAGGAAATAATTGAGACTGTTACATTCCTATACGAAAACTTTTTTCATGTCAGGCTCTAAAAACTGAAAATCTGCCGTATTTATATCAAATTTCTTAACAAAGTTAAACTTTTGGGATTGCTACCTCGTAGTGCCAGATTATTAGTCCCACTTAGAATTTGTATTAAGCTTTCAAGTTGTGTTTGTTCACGGTAGAATTGTCAAATATACTATATTATTCCTAAATATGCATAAAGTTTAGAAAAAGTTTGTTCTAAAAAAAATCTTTTGCGCAAAAAAAAACTTTAAAACCACGTGTTTTATTTATTTTCTCCTGGGTTTGTCTAAATACCGTTATCTGATTGGTCAGAAGGATTCGCACCTTGTTTATTCTGCGTATTTATAGCAATTCACGGTTATCGTTCTTGACTTCCATATTTGGAAATCGTCCAGACCTGCATGTAGAATACCGAATGAAAATTGTCAGAGGTCCAAAGCCAACGTATTGACTCAGGACCCTGATGTTGTGAGGATGGGGTGAGCTACGAATATATATAGTCCAATATAACATATGTTATTATTCTTTTCTATTATTTATTGATGATGGGCATGAGTAAGTTTACAAATTTCTAGCTTCATGATATATATTGCATGATAATAAAATATATATATAGGAAACATAATTATGTCGAGACTCATCAGTACACGTGTATGTAATCAGAAGGAAAAGGTTGCTAAACAAAAACAATAATATTGATTGAAAAGGACAGTTCCTAAATACGAGTATATTTGCATCAACAATGAAATATAGAAGACTTTATGGCCACAAAATTCAGCAGTTAAAAATGTACAGCAAAATCTTTCAAACTATTTTCTTCAATTTTGAGGATTTTTTAACCACTTTTACTTTTTATCTGGAAGAGGTCCCGCCTCCTCATTTTTCTCAATTGCGGTTATCAGTGGCACCTTTAACCCGACAGTAGCAGTATAACCAGGGGGCGCAATTGTTGTGTAAGTATGCTGGGAAAAGATACCCTGGTTGGTTCCTTTGTGAATATGGTAGACTTGTATGTCGTCGTTTGTCTTGTTTCTGGACAGGATACACAAGTGTGCAACAGCGGAAATAAGGACAAAGATTCCCCCCACTCCTCCAAGGATGAGAGCCCACGGACAGTGGAAGTGTAGAATTGTCGACTTGTACATGTATGAAAATAGGGCTTTGTAACCATGAGCCACGGTAGCCGTTTTTGCAGCAGCCGCAATATATGTTCCGCCTAAAGATAAGATGGATACAGGAAGTTTATAAATATTCTCCACTGTACATTCAAAGAAATTGGATAAAACTTCAAAATAGAAATAAGTGTAGCCAATGTAGGTGCCAGTTTAACTGTTATTAGGCATGTACCTGAGACAATAAGGCTGATGCAGGCCAATAAACCAGCACACCTGGACCTCGCCAGACTACGCGTGTACGCAATGGTGCCGATGAAACCAAGAACCCCAAAAAAGATTCCTATGGACGAGATAATCTGGAATTCCAACAGTCCCTTTTGACCCAATCCTGAAAAAACAGAAACGATTTCTCAGATAATATGCAATTCCAGAGCATCATCTAAGGCATAATTTTTCAGTGATAACTGGTGCATTTTAAAATAAACTTGGATTTGACATTTTACTGGTATTTTTTATCATTTCAAGTCTTCTATTATATATTTTATGGCGTTTGTATAGTCCGTCCCACGGTGCGAACTTCACCACTATTAAATCATATTCAAAATATAAAAATATATACCTTGGCCTTCAAACTAATGTCGATCGGTAGATATATTTTTTCCCAAACTTATAGATGTACATCACTCATGAAGACATTCGTATTACGCTACCTGATACAGATTCACGATCAATAGAAGGCAACATCTATGGTAATCTTAAAACGATTAATGGAAAAAAAGTGTCCTCTCTAATCTGCATGCGTAAACCCGGATGTTTAATTGAAAGATATGAACATAAATATTTTAAAATAGGGAGTGGCAAAGACTGAAGAAATATATTGATTTAAAGAAACTCATCTACCCATAGTGACAACATGTTAAAAATTCTAAACCAAAATATATTTCACCACTTTGTTTATTGAAATGTACATGTATACTGATTATCAGAGTGTACCGACTTCTGTAATGAGAGAGAAAAAAACACACTGGGAATAACAACATTACCTTTCATTTCCTTGTACACAGAGCTTGGGAATGAATACATAAATGGCGATTCTCTATGACTGTGGTAGGTGGACACATGACATCTCTTCTCCTTGCCAGAATCTTCTCTCCTCTGCATCATCCAGCTATCATCTTCGAAGCTGGCATCAGGCATATAATGTGGGTAAACATTTTTAGATCTGTGGAAACAGATAGTGAAATACCACAGTCCAACCGAGAGGTGAACTTTTTCGCCATTTTCAGGATTCCAATCAAAAAAAGGGGAATAGTCTTGTTGTGTTTCCCTGACGGAAACATTGGCCCATCCTGGACTGACGAAAGAAACTGTCATCAACACCACGCCGATGAAAGTAATTACCGCAAAAATCTTCAACTTTCTACCCAACTTCATCGTTGTTTAGCCTGAATAACTCTCGAAAAATATTTAACTTTGTAAGAGAGAAAATGGCTACCCGGATATTTTTTGATGTTTTATGTCCGTGTCGTCTTCTTTATTCAGGTGCATCAAAACAAAACACTACGCATGCGTCAGGTGTTGAATTCCAGAAAATCAATACATTACCTGTCTGCATGTATTTGCAAAGTAGAAAAATTAACGAGGCATGACCGTGTAAATATAAAATCGAGCGAATTGTATGACACAAGATACTTTAAATAATGCACACTTTCATACGATACGGTATTACTTAGCTTTTAAGATAGGTGATTTCAGAGATTGTTAAAAAAAAAAAAAAAGATGAACTACATGTATCTTCCTGAAAATTGTATTCATTTCAGTGTGATTACTCAAAGCTATTGTTAATTGTAATAACAAAGAAAAAAAACAAACTATTTAAACAAAAAGTATGCAAAGGTGGTACTAAATTATTTAACGGACATTTTTTTGCAGTTATTTACCTACAAATTTTAAATGTATTTTTATTTATCTACGAGTTTTAAATGTACATGTATTTCTATCAAAAAGAAAACTCATCATTTCCGTGTAGCATAATTAATGACGCAGACAGCTAAACAGAGTGACTTCCCTTCAACAGTGAACTTGAGATGAACCGCTTGATAGTGTGTAAATATGGTTCTTAAATGTTTTTATAATTGGAATGTTCATTGAATCTATTGGAGAAAAGATGTTTTTGTGTTGAAAAGTGAAAAAAAACAACATTTTTGACTTTTCTTTTCTTTTTTTTCCCCCCTTTAAATATAAATTTCTTTGAATTGAGGACATCCTAGCATATGTTGGTCTGAACAAAATTTCCCAAGAAACAATTTAATCTATTATCTTTTGGAAGTTATTAATTTGTTTACGCTCTGACGAAGACTGCAATGATATAAGTTTTGGTGTATTTCAGACCTCTTTATTAATTATTTTAAAGGTATTACACACGGTGTCCTGCTTAGACAATGCAATCAGTTAATACCAGTTCTTTGCCTGTGTATTATAAACAAGTATCTTCGAGTACTTTGTGTATTTAGCTTGAAAATGCATATGCTTACAGTTGAAACACAAAGACAAAAACATAAGTGCATTTTCACTTCAGATATAAGATATTTTATACAAATTCCTTTTTCTGCCTGTTTAGCCAAGCCATAACATCGAAAAATTTGTTCTTCAAGTGAATTCTAGACTATGATCAGATAATTTCAATGTAAAGAGAACCTTTTTGTCTCTTACAGAACTAAAGATGATAGCACTGACAGAACTAAAGATGATAGCATTGACAGAATTACAGAGGATAGCACTGACAGAAGAAAAAAAAAAGATGATGACACTTACAGAACTAAATATGATGGCACTGACAGAACTAAAGATGAAAGCACTGACAGAACTTAAGATGATAGCACTTACAGAACTAAAGATGATAGCACTGACAAAACTAAAGACGATAGCAATGACAGAACTGAAGATGATGGCACGGACAGAACTAAAGATGATAGCACTGACAGAATTAAATATGATAGCATTGACAGAGCTAAAGATGAAAGCACTGACAGAATTTATGAAATGATAGCACTGACAGAAAAATGATGATAGCACTGACAAAACTAAACACGATAGCTCTGACAGAACTAAAGATAACGGCACTGACAGAACTTAAGGTTTTCCATTCCAAATAGGGCCTAATTCTCTATCCTTAAATATCCATCACGTATATAATACTCTGATGTTAATTCAAAGCATTTTACAGTAGAAAAGGATTTACCAAGAGAAAGTTTTTTAAAAAAAATAATTAACTAAGATGTAATTAATTAATTAACAAAATTGCACTGAAGTCTATGGAAACAAGCGATTTTTTAAAATAAAAATTCAAATAATAAGAATATCAATAAATACTGTTTTGGAATGATGCATTAAATCATTTGAAATAGAATGACAATTGAAAAATTTTATTTACCGTATAGATCTTTTTAAAATTGATTTTTTTTTTATTACTTCAAAAAGAGGTCAGTGCACGCATGTTTGGAAATTGATTTTAATCCGATTGCAACTTTCTCCTGTTATGCCAAAACGAAGAAACATTGTTAACTCCGATCCTCATCTTAAAAAGTGAACATTGATGCTGGTATATTGAATCAGCATCTGAATAATGTCAGATATTTCTCACTAGGGTACCAATCCTGCTTGAAGTGAGAAGTTTCCCTTTTAAGAATAATTTAATATTTATTTAAACTGATTTATTAATCTTGATCTTGATATATTCATATATTTCAAAATTGAATTCGATTTTGTGATGATAAAAAACAAGAAGTCTGTGAATCAATGTTCAATAGTAATACCCCCGCTCTGATGTGAATGTACACTCTCATGAATCCCACCAAATGGCATGCCTAAGAAAGAGTGTGCTAAAATTTCGAGTATTAGCGAAGAGTAGTTGCTGAAAAAAACTGTGACGGAAATTTGGTACGGATAGACACATGGATAAAAAGGAATTTGACATCAGATTCGAAAAAAATGAATCCAATCATATGACATGCCTAGACAAAGAGTGTGCTAAAATTTCAAGCTTTAGCAATGAGTAGTTGCTGAGAAAACTGCGACGAAAAATTGGTATGGACAGACGCACAAATTTGTACAAAAATGATTCCCACCATATGGCATGCCCTAGACAAAGAGTGTGCTAATATTTCAAGCATTTGCGATGAGTAGTTGCTGAGAAAACTGGTACGGACAGACACACGGATAAACAAGAAGTTGACATCGGATTTGTTCAAAAATGATCCCCACCATATGGTATATGCCTTAGACAAAGAGTGTGCTAATATTGTCTTCCCACAAATTTTTATTAAAATAGAAAATTTGGTGTTATGACTATTTCAAGCATCAGCAATGAGTAGTTGCTGAGAAAACTGAGACGAAAATTTGTTACGGACATAAACACGGCTAGATAGACAGTCAGAAAGACACACAAGGGTAAAACAGTATATCCCCCTCTCCCTCGGAGCGGGGGTATAAATATCAAATAAAAATATTAACAGTATTTTCCTCCACATGAAAAATATCTTAACAAACACATCACAAAGCTAATAGAATCCTTATAATCTAAGAGAAAACAGTTCAGAGTTTTTGCTTTATTGGAAGGGGAAGTGCAGTTCCCAGTCCCTCATTGGAGTTTACCTCAAATGGCGGGAGGTCGGTCTTTTCGATTGGATAAAATTCTGTAGTCACAACGGGGATTGCGGTGGTGTTCTTTTCCGAGGTCGTTGAATATACCGTGGGTTTCTTCTTGTCGTCCCTATCACGTGATACAATGAAGAGATGCATAACTGCGACTGCCAGAAAGGTTGACGAGGTGATCGCTCCCAGAATGAGGCACCAAGGGATCGGTACATAAATGCCGTACATGTTACCTCCATAATACATATTTATCATTTCGTGAAGGTGCAGCAAACTCATGGAAATTTTACCCACAGCGATCCAAAACAAGACTCCTGTTTATAGAAAGAAATACTTTTTGTTTTAACAAAAACAATTGTATATCGGGTGACACAATTCTCATGATACACAATCTCTTTATTTTGTTTTGAGGTGTGTGTTTCTTTGTGTGTTTTCGCAGTCTTCTGAAACACATAAAGCTTATTTGAATGAAAAGCACAACTTATAACTATACCTGTCAGTAGACAGGAGACACATGCTGCTAGTCCCACGTGTCGCTTATTTCCCTCTGTCCGGTAGTACAATGCCGTAGTGATCAACCCAATAGCACTGCATATAATACCCAGACCTGTCTCTATCTGGAACTCCAGCAGACCAAATTTTGTCACATCTGTAAAAATAACAAATATAGACTTATTCACAAGTAAACGAGAGAGTTGTTGGTCTCGCATTCATGCTAGCTAGCCCTGTCGCCCTTTCATTCTCACTTCCAACATGAAAATATCATAGCTTTACCCACGGCTTGTCTGGGCTTTGTGTCTTCAAAAGCTGAAAATTCGTAACAATGGACCAAAAATGAGGAAAATTGTGAGATATGCTGTCACCTTTTGTTACCTCTTTGCACGGGTAAACGTTGTCAATGCTGTTTTTGATAAAGACGTTATCTTAGGATTTTGATTTTGGAACATGAAAAGATGTTGCTCTTGCCGTAATTCATTCTTTTGTGTGTTAAAGGTATTGTGAGATGGTGAGCTACAAATCAAATTATGATTTATAGCTTACCTGAATGAGTCGAAACCCTGAAAATTTGACAATCCTGGAAAACTGCTTATAAATCGATTTTTTCCAACTTCATCTATGTTCGGAATACTTTGACATTTTAAGAATAATCGACTTCTTTTAGTTTTATTTAGAGGTAGCTGCAGTGACTGCAAAGATAGAACTAAGATTTGGTATAAGTTGTATAATTCAAGGTTACTTAAGGAAATTAAAATATAACGGTCCATAAATTATATTCTGTTATGTGTACATTCTATACTGTATTCTATAATTATCACAGACGGTAAACGGACCAGAGAGGAAGATTTTATGATGATTACTCTTGTTTTTAAGACTTTTTTAATCATAATAATACTCATCGGAAGGAAAATATTATTGATTCAAGCGTTGCTTATTCTCGATCTCCGACCTAATACTAGCACTTGGTGGAGCTGCCTACCCAATTACCGGCATTGGGTAGGCCGCTCCAACCAATTCAATTCAATTTATTCTCGCCTTTTGTAAAAACAACAGAGAGAAAATATAACAATAAAATCAAACAAAATACATGATGCATGACCTAAGTACTAGCATAGACAGCTCCGACCTAAGTACTGGCATTAGGTAAGCAGTCCGACCTAAGTACTAGCATTGGATAGGCAGCTCCGATCTAAGTACTGGCATTAGGTAAGCAGTCCGACCTAAGTACTAGCATTGGACAGTCAGCTCCGACCTAAGTACTGGCATTAGGTAAGCAGTCCGACCTAAGTACTAGCATTAGACAGTCAGCTCCGACCTAAGTACTGGCATTAGGTAAGCAGTCCGACCTAAGTACTTATAGTCTAGCATTGGATAGGCAGCTCCGATCTAAGTACATATGTAATAGCATTGGGTAGTCAGTTCGGCCTAAGTACTTGCATTGGGTAGGCAGTCCCGAAACTAGTAAGTTTCATTTTACCATTAATTTTGATAGAAAGGATATACTTTTTGGCAAATTCAACAACAAAAACATGTTTAGACTACACAATATATTAATACTTACTGTTAAGCAATTTATTTTTGCTAGTAGGTTTAAAAATGTGCCTAAACTAAGCATCTCAATGCTAGAAAAAAATATTGTGGATAGAATATTAGTCGAAAAAGTTATACTTTTAAGAAACTGTAAATTTTCAGAATATGAAAAATATTGGAAAACTATTTGTGATATGATATAATGTATTTATTTTTCTCAAGTTTATATACAAATGTACAAGTATGTTAAAATACTTAATACTGTTCCCCCCACCTCACTTTTTTGCACCCTTTCACCCCCTTTTTCCTTTCTTTAATTTTATCTCTGTGTATAAAGCTTTCACAGTGAATATTCATTAAAATGTACAATATGTCATATACAATTTTAATGTGATTTTGAAATGCAACAGTACTAGCATTGAGTAGGCAGTCCGATCTAAGTACTAGCATTACATAGGCAGCTCCGATCTAAGTACTAGCATTGGATGGGCAGCTCCGATCTAAGTGTTAGCATTGGGTAGGCAGCTCCGATCGAAGTACTAGCAATGGGTAGGCAGCTCCGATCTAAGTACTAGCATTGGGTAGGCAGCCCCGACCAAAGTACCGGCATTGGATATAGGCAGAACATTTCAATCAATACAATGCAAGACAGGAAGAAGACTCAGAAACTTGCTGCTTTGGACTTTAACGTTTTATTCAGCAAAGACAAGCACAATCAATCGTTTTATGCAATCTTCATTTTAATTTCATGTCTTCAGGCAAGACATCTCGAGAGAGAGAAAAAAAATCTTTTGCTGAACACTTAATTTAATTATGCTTCTTCTAAAACAAGGCAATGCTTAAGGGGAGCAGTATTGCAACCTTAGTGTAAAACTCATTTATCATGAAGGATAGCACTTTTTTGGTTACATTATGGGTTGTTTTACATTAAGGTAGTCCGTTCCTCAGGTTCTAAAGACCTGCGAACGACAGTATTGTTCTCCTGAGTACCTCCAAGTCAATTTTCAAAAGTTAACACATTTGAATGATTTTTTTAATATCTATATAGATATTTATATGAATTTTCATAAAACATTACTTCTTTGGGAAAACAAAGAGAGATAAATCTATAATTTTGGTAAAACTTGTGTTTTTCACTATAGAAATCAACGGAAAACGGAAAATATTTCTAGAACATCTTTCCCCAGTGAAACAAAAATTCCTTTTACAGGTAATATGGACTGTCATTTCATAAATTCATACCAAAGCTTTTTGTGTTTCACGGGGGGGGGGGGGGGACATAAAATACAAAAATGCTTATTTTTTCACCAATTTCAAAGGGATTTACCACTAAAACATTGTATTTTATTACTAATATATGTTTAATTTTAAAGCATGAGAAAAGATTTAAGGTACATTTATTCACATCCAAGAATATTTTAAAATGAGGTGATGCTTTAAAGCCCGATTTCAATGAAAAATATCGTCTACCCCTCTTATTTAAAGAGCTGGAATTAGGGGTAATTAACTTTTTAACACTGGTATTAAAATTATCAGTCAATTACCATTGAACTGTTCTTTGCATTCAACAAAGATTTTACGGCCATATTGCATTAGTATTGAATAAAATGGATGTAAAATGTAGGCTGGAATCTAGAGTTAGCGTGCATAGTTCTTTTACAGTTAAGCACGTGTAATATGAAAATGCTCACAAAAATGTCACTAAGTTCACAAAGTAAATACTAATATGTATTTAATACAGTTTATTTACCCATGTTATTTCTTCAAAGTTCTTTAGTTAATCGTCTTATAGAGGGAAAATAATAAAATCTCAAGTATATTTTAAGGAAACGTAAATAAAAGCAATAATTATGCATTTTCTAATTGAAAACTGAGAAATAAGAATATTTTAGGATAAAATACTATAGTTTTCCCAACAAAAATCGCATGTTTTTAACCGGGTTTTCCGTAGGAAAAATCTGGTTATTGAAATGGTGAAAATGGCTGGGGTGGGATGGGGGGAGACGGCTGCCAAAAGTGTACATCATTTGTCCGGATAACGCCTTTAAACTGAGTTTTCAAGATGGGGACTTTTTTTTATTTTTCAGATCGTTCCTATATTATATCAGAGATGTGCACACTGTTTGGATTTTGATTTTGATAATTTATGGGAAAAATACCACCTGTTGAACTTTTTTTTTTTTTTTTTTTTTTTTTTTTTTTTTTTTTTTTTTGCAAAATATTGCATATAGGGTACCCCATTAACCCGGATAACTCCTCCCTCAATTTTCAAAATAGGAACTTTTTTTTTAAAAAAAATGCAACTCAATTGTAATAAAACTACATATATCAAAGATGTGCATATTACTTGGATTTTGATTTGTGATAAATTATGAGAAAAAATACCAGTTACTGGACTTAGTCATTTCTTTGCAAAATATGCATATAAGGTACATCATTTGTCCGGATAACTCCTCCGACAGTTTTCAAGATAAGTTTTTATTTTGCAGATCAATTGTACATCAGAGATGTGCATGGTACTTGGATTTTGATTTTATATCATTTATGAGGGAAATGGCCAATTGTTGAACTTAGACATTTCTATGCAAAATATGCTAATAAGGTACATTAATTTTTGGGATGTCACCTCCTACAGTTTTCAGAATAAAGTTTTTATAATTGACGATTTTCACTTTTACAAGAGTCATTTCCCTTCCGGGGTCAAACTAGGGTCAACGGGCGTAAGGTGCTGTTTTCAACATAACCCAAACTTCTGCAAGAGTTCGTTTGTCTGTGTGCGGAGACGTATGGGTAGTATGTAACAAATTTATATGTGTAAGTTCATTATGTTTTCTTTGTTGTTCCATACTTTGCCAATAGAGAGGTTTTAAATATCTAGTGACAAAGGATATTATAATGAGAAAAAATGGTTTCAGGAAAAAAGGAAATAACTCTTGCAAATTCGAAATTTGTTTGTCCATGTGAGTTCTGTTCACGCAAAGAAAACACTGCTTGCTGTCGCATTAACAGCTTTCCACTTGTTTTATACTTACGCGATATTTTAGTTCTTCTAATAACTTCAATTGTTATATAATATTATATCATTGCAAGATATCACAGATCATGTCATGCTTGATTAGGCCTAAACGAAATTCGATTTCTCTAAAGATGTAATTTTTGGTACTTTTATGAGTTGCAATCGTCTTCTTTTCACAAGACAGTTTCCAAGACGCCAAAAGACCTTGAATCATATTGAGATACATAAAATAAAATTGTTGCCTAACTCGAAATCTCTTAACCTCCCAAACTGACAAGCAAAGTAGAAACGTAAATTGCTCAACTGCACAAACTCGAAAGTCCTATTGCGTTGTGGAGGGGGTGGGTGGGTTAGTGTTGGACCCTTCTCTAACTTTTCGGTGCATTTTTTTCGAATGCTGGAATTCGCCAATGTTCAACCGAACAGCAACAAAAAAGGGCAAGCATCTTTCAAATGAAAATTTACATAATAAAACTACATCAAAAACCTATTCTCAAAAAAAAAAGGGGGGGGGCCTTGTATAAAAAATTAAAAGGCGTTAACGTAATATAACTTGTCATAGGCCATCATTAAATTTTCCACAGAATTCGGTAAAAGAATTTTGGAGCGTGTTTTATTACCGGTATGTCTCCCCGAACGGAAACGTGTGGTTCTGGTTGTCTCTCTACATGTATATACAGTTGCTCGTCTGTTATGTAGTACAAAATTGTGTTCATCATCAATAACCTGAGAACAGTAGATTGGAATAGGTTAGTGTGTTGTTGTCTATCACCTATAAAGATGTTTCATCCTCTATTCACAATTTCTATTGTTTATTTGGACTTTGAACATGATTACCGTTCGCTATTTTCACATTTCATTCATACTCAATAAATTTTTGCTCAAAATCAAGTCTTATATGTCAAGGTCCATAGAGAAAGAGAAAGGAAATAATAACATAAATAGAAATCGTTAATTGGAATTTATTCGGCGAACTTGAGTTTGTTCTTGCTAATGACTCGCTGCCTCAAGGTCAGGCACATGTATCTCAAGGGTTTCTATATACTAGTATCCAGGAATCGATATAAATGCATGGGGAAGGGGAAAAAATTATGTCAAACATACAAAATAATTTTGTTCGTTTCTCTTCTTTGACAAGAACGTAACTTGGAATGCAGAATGCTTGTAGTTTGACTACCATATCATTGGAATCCTAGGTTTAATTCTGAGCTTATTTATCCATTGTTAATTTATGACTGACTTTTGCCTTACTGGATAGATTCTGATTTGATTATATGGTGTATTGGCATGAAATGGGAAATAGAAAATTCGCAGTCTACATCGATTAATCTTGGAATAATGAATTATTAAGAAATACGTTAATTAATCAGACCAACAGAGAAAAAAGGTAAAAGTTCCAACAGAAATACTGTACAGTATCAGATTTTAATTATGTTCCTGTACGTGTACGTGTAATATTCGTTGATGCATTGATTTCACTTCCTTTTTTATAAATATAAAATCCGCTGTTTTTCCCACTGATTTGCGTCAGTCAAAATTCTTAAAAACTACCTACTAATAACATGGGAAAAATAACAAGATGACAATAGGTTCAAATAAATTAACACTATTCCAAGATCACAGAGAAAATTTGTCGCACTATATCCAGTAATTTTATCTTAGTTTTTCAAAATCAAGATTTTGAGAAAAAAAATAAACTACCTGAAAGCGAACACGGAACAGAAAAAAAGTGCTGAATGGCAGTCATTCCGCCCAATACGAGTATAGGACGATATACATTAGACTGTTTTAATTATTATCTATTTAAGAAGGAAATACACGTTTAATTTAATAGCCACCTTGAATTAGACTAGAATGTACTAGTACATGTGTATCTAGATCTCCAAGCGAATTCCCCGACGGAACTTGAGGTAGAAATTCTGATCCATTAAAATCAGGCTTTTTTTACATCACCCGATTTTCAAATACTCATGAAAATGGATAAATGACCCTTGAATCCTTCCATATGTTCAACTTATATAAAATTCAGCATATATGATTGTTATTTAAATACTTTTTTCCTGCAAAATCCAACAGTAATTTTCTCCGAGATTGTTTGCTTTTCTTTCATTTAGAATTATTTTTTATACGAGAAAAAATCCAAATAACTATAGCTAGTGCATTCGTAGGGATCTGTTTGAGGTTTCTTTCATCAGTTTGAATCTTTAAAAAATGTGACTAGGAAATTATCACAATGCTATGAATGGAATACGCCAATGGAATTGTTTACTTTGTTTTGGCATTGTAATGAGAGAGAGAGAGAATTTATAAAATCTGGAGGCAAAACTACTTACAGTGGATTTTTTCGTACGTTCCTCTGACAAATGGCGTTCCGTCAGGGAGTCTGTCCATCTCTTCCTCGGCTGAGGAGTATGTTGAATGGAAACATTCCTTTCTGAAGAACATGGTGTGCGGCTTTTTATTGTAAAGACAGGTTACAAAATACCACAGACCCATGGAAATGGACAGTCGGTGACCCTCGGCTATGCCGTCCTTGTCGTAGGGCATGGCGACTGGGTCCCCGGGGTTAGGGTGCCCAGAATTAATCTGTTCCATGGATTCCTCCATAAGATCCCCGGCAATCCTCTCCGGAAAGTGAATATTCACTATAGCCCAACCAGGGCTAAAGAATATAACCACTTTAAGTACAAACGCAATCGACAGGGCAACGAGAGTGAATTTTAGTCTGGTTACCACACCCATTTTTTTTCTCAATACGCGGAGCCCCTGGTATATGTATTCGCCGTTCTTTTTCCAAATAAGTGAGTGGTTAGCCAGCTGAGTTTATACCTAAGATGATGCTCATAGACAGTCAGGTAAAGAAAAAATCGATCTAATGGACCAAAACAATTCTTTATGGTAGAGCAATGCGCCAAAGTTCGGTGTAAAGGCATTAATATTTCATGACTATTGGAACGTTATAATGAATATAAGACAGGTGGCAATCGAGAGAGAAACAATACAATGTATCCTCGATCTACCTTCATAAATATAGTAAAAAAGAAATTGGGGGAAAATGTTTTCATATACAATATATTTCCGTTCACTTTTTAATGATTCATAACAAGAAGAAAATACCCTTTTTCAAAGAATTAATTTATTGGTAACAAGATGGTATAAATAAAATATAATTTTTTACAAATAAATCTCATTAGATTTTACCACAACAGTTCACATTGTTAAATAAAACGTAATCAACAAATTAAATGCAGTACCACTGTTTGACTTGGTACATTGTGGGATGACGATGTTCAATCTGTTGTAAACACTCTGATGTATAAAACAGCATCACAGCAAGTTATGTTTTCATTTGGAAGTCTTAGCAAAAGTTATGATATTGATTTTATTCTCATCTTTGTCTTTTTCAAACATGATATATAGCTTCCCTACAGTGTTTTAATGGTGGTAAAATTTGCTTTGGCTTTTAGCTGCATCACAATGGAGTTCCAGAGCAAAAAACGACATCATTAATCTTTCTTCTGGTCTGATTCCTGAAAATAAAGATTATCTCTATGTTAAATCAATAGAATGATTGATTCTCTTTCGCGTTAATGTTAATGAATATCAGCATTATATCTTATTGATAAGTATCATTGTCTATATAATAGATTCAAATGAACATGTCAAATACCATGGATAGTGGATACATGTTTGTTGAAGTGATTCAGTGTTTGAAACCTTATCATTGAGTGTCATGTTTGAAATCTCAAACACCGGAATTTCTTAATATTTTTCAACAGTTTGAGTCACATTATGTTTGAGATAACAATTAAACTATTATAACGATATAACAGGTGTTGAAAAAGTGCAAATGTCAGTAAAATCTCAAGAATGCAAAATAAAATTCATGCACCATAATTATAACAGGATGAAGAAAATGCAACTTGAAACAAAAAATATTTTCAGATGTTTTTCTCAGAATTTAAGATACTTATTTATCTATTCAATTTTATGGATTCAGTGAATTCGATGCATTTCTTCATCTCTGCATTCATTTATTTATAATTGATAACTTTAAATAAAACTGAATAAATTCCATTCACCAAGCTCAAAAATTCATTTTTACCAGTTTCTTTACTGAAATGTGACAATTGTTCAATTAAAACAACTACCAGGTATTTCCCAACACTATCACAATTTCATTATGATTAAGGTATCTAAACCGAGTTTTAGCTGAACCATAAAAAAGGAGGAGAAAGAATCCCCCATCAACCAGTCACACCAGCTGTGAGCCCTATGTATTGATAGGATAAAACGAGCCATCCACATTCTATATAAGTGGTATATAAACAAAGGCCTAACATGTCAGCCAATGATAGGTTGTATTTCCAAAGAAGGTCATTATAATGACCACATAATCTGCATAATGCTGACTCTGATTTTCAAAGTCAAAAAACTTTTCAAAACTTATTCTCCTCACATTTCCTTTTACACTCCTAGCCTGGTTTGCAAAAATCCTAATATTAATTGATAAAAGAAAAAAGCCCCTGATAAGACAATGGAAGAGCTTATTATTACTTATGGACTTACTGGATTTCCATTTGTTTTCTCTTCTTCATCCCCTTCTGCAATTGGTGATTGCTGCAAAGTAATCCAAGTGAAATATATATACTATATATTATAAAAAAGGAAGCAACTCCTTACTGACCTGAGCAAAACATTGTAGATAAATTATGGTAATACTATAATATATATATATATAATTTTTGAATTGCTTCAGATCAGTATTCATTTAACTTCATATTAATGCTTTCCTTACAAACAATTTCAAATATAAACCCACTACCTGTATATCAATCTATTTTTACAGTTTGAAATACTCTGTGTGTCAGAGTGATGTGACTCACTTTTCCAGTGTCTGTTTTGTCTGTGTCACTGATCATCTGTTGTTTCTTCTCTAACTGTTTCTTCTCCTGTTCTATGATGCTGTAGAATTCCTTCTCAGCCTTGGTGTACAGATCTTCCTCCTCCAAGCGCCCCTCCTCTGGCTCCTCCTCCTGTCAAAGTATAATATCATTTACTACACATACAAGTAATTTATCCTCAACTGATTCATTTAAAAAAAAATCATTAAATTGAAGCATATGATTCTTATCTGCAGGAATAAAAAAAAGCAGGTGTATGCATTGTGCCAACTGATTCATTTGAACAATGGACTTGCTCCATCATTTTATGTTTCTTTTGATTAAAATGCTCAATGCACAAAATTGGTTGCAACATTTTAACCCACACATCTATGAAACGCTGCAGTTTGTTCTTTGTCTTTAAAGCAGTGACAGTTTAAGAGCAGCATGATATACAATTCACACTAAAATACCTATCAAATAAAGAAACTGCAGTCAACCAAATAGAAATGTTGTGAAGTACAGATTTTTTATGTTTGATAAACTATTTTCTCAATGTGCTGAAACACAAAATTGTTCCATTCAATGTGCATGCATGCAATCCATTGTGAATATATTACTTACTTCTTCTGTCTGTATAAGCAAATATCAAAAATAAAAATAAATATTGATAATTTCCTCTGTTTACTTTTTCCAAGGTCAATGACAGAATTCTAAGTCACCTTATTTTCAAGTTGTTGATTTAAGTGGCATGCAATCTCTTGCTTACTTAATAGTAAAATCTCAAATGATAAACCCAGATATACCTTAAACATATTTGTCCATCCTAATCATAAAGGTGATATTTCTATTAAGACTTCAGTGAATCTTCATATTTCTACTTATAGATATGCTCTTGTTTATACTGTACGTGCATCATTTGAAAACAATTAATATACTTAATGACACTAAATGGATAACAGCATATACATATATATGTAATTTTTAAAATATAGTTCAACTACCTTTGCACCATCTGCTGAACTCTTTGACCTTTCTTTTAATTTCATTTCTCTGTGTCGAGAATCCAAGATCTTTTCTCTCCTTGTTTCTCTTTCAAACATCTGCAACAAGATACAGTGCGTATATATCTGAGTTAGAAGTTACTGCTCCCTTTATAAAAGCAAACTATTTGGGATTCTATGTATAACTTTTATACTTTTATAAATCAGACTATCTTTTCTTTGCCATATTTGTAGTACTTACAGCTGTGACTAAGTTCTTTTCGTTCCTTTGAAGTGTGTACAAGCTGTCAGATAGTTCTAATAATGTGGTGGTGCCAGTGTGTGACCCACAAGCGATTAATCGGCCCTGTTCCTGCACCCTCAGACTGTGTAATGGCTCATCACAAACCTAAATGATATGTTTACAGTATATCATTTTTTATTCGTGAGAACTTTATTTAGGCATAATTACACAAGAAAATCTGCTCATGAAAATTTCATTCTCATGTATAATTCTACTATTAAAGATAATATAGAGCAATAACCAATATTCATGAAAAGTTTGTTTCGCTTATAAATACTAAACAACAACCTCACAAAAAATGTGTCACAAAGAAAAAGTGATCTACAGTATACAAAATTTCAAGTAAGCCAAAAAAGCAGAACTAAAAATTACTTTTGAAAAGCAAAAACAGTTGGTACTTTTCTGTGGAACGTTGCATAAAATACTTAACTATGAAATAATTAAGTTTTAGATTCTTCTTTGGTAGTTGATACATTTTTATTTACAGGTATTCCTAATTTTTCCTAAACTTTTTTGCAAATATTTTTTTCAATGAAATACAAGAATTGTCTCTGGTAAAAGTGACACCGTGATGCAAAAAGGGGAAAATTGACAAAAATAGAATTTTTGCATGATGCATGCAAATTTTGTTCAATTCTTGAAAGTATTAGGTAACAGAAAATTACAGGTTTCAGAACCTTAAAAATCTACTTTTATGGAGAAAAAAAAAATTTAATACAGTCTTCAAAAAAGATTACCAGAACATATTCCTCACCTTTGCATGCTCCAATTCATTTACAAGTTTTACACTAAAGATAAAAATTGTGTGACCTTGACATGGACAATAACCAAAAATTGGTAGGTACAACCTTTGTTTTTCCAGCACTTATATTTTGCAGTCTTTTTTGCTTTACTTAGCAGTTGAGTCTTTCAAAACTCACATACTGATCTTTTTTATATAAATCTTTTGCTTTCTGATACAAATAACTTAAATGAAACACATGCATTTGATTCATTATGTAACTTTAAGATAAATACCTGTAAACTAAGAGTTGGGTCATTTTGTTTAAAGATAATATCCCAGACATCAAGGGTGCCATCCATTTTTGTGACAAGGAACACAGAGGGTCTAACGGGACTCCAGCATCCGTCTGTCAGGTATGACTTGTACTGTCTAAACAACGTGTAAAGAAGATGACACTTTTATTGTGCGTAAAACCTTGCTTGCAACAATTTTATTTTAAAAGCATAACTTTCTGTTTTAATGATGAGTTTCCAACTGAAAGATGTACAAGTCTTACCTTGACCACATGATAGAGGATTCCCTAATATCTTCTGACCAAATCTGAAGTTCAAAAATAAAAGTAGTGAAGTAATGGGATTAGTGATGTCAGTAAATGTTTCTTCAAGAAATGTGTGAACATCTTCTCACCCTAGCCTTCCAGTCACCCACACTGAGGAAGTTCTTGGGGAAGAATGGATTTCGTTGAAGTGAATAAACAGGACCTAAGTGACCATTATACTGGGCTACAATCTTTTCTGCTGGTGTCTTGGCCTTTCTGTTACATGACAATATTGAGCCTTGTTCACATCCTACCATAAATTTTGTGGGCTGAAATATAGAGGATAATAAGAGTTATCTATCATTCACATTAAATTTTGAGTGTTTATACATGTATAGAATTTATTTCCCTTTATATGGTTTTGTTATTTAGAACATGAATTTTGCATCGCATAATTCCTCCAGCTTTGAAGAATGTTAAGAACATAGTACCATAGTTGGTTCATATTCTAATGCCATTGCTCCAAGGGCTTTAGTTGGGTCTTGTTTCTTGGTTGGGTCTAGGTATAGTTTTTCTGTGGGTTCTCCCATCTTTCTGATATCCCACCATAGCACCTGTCCATCTGAGGAGGCAGAGAAACACTCGGTTCCAGTTTTGGATTGAATCCATATGGCCTTGTAGGCTGGATCTCTGTGACTGTGTTCTATTGGGGACATTTCCACTGGCTGAGATCCCTTCCTTGTGTCCCAATAAGCTATTCAAAAAAAGCGCTTATTTAGTCTTTAGAAAATATCAATTTAAATTGTTTTCTTTTTTAGTTACTTATTAATTAAGTCATACTGTATTGATTACTTACCAATTTGACCATTGTAGCAGCCTCCCAGCAGAATGTGTGAGTCTTTAGGGTTGTATTCCAAGCACACTAAAGGAGACACAGGTTTTAAAACTGTCTCTGGTTTGTTTGGATTTTCTGTAAAAAATGAAGATAAAATATATACACATGTTTTTGATATGAAACTTTGATACAGATCAATTTTGAATTCTTCAGAAACTTTCTTGTAAATGTATAATCCCATCTTGAGATTTATCAAACATATATTCACTCACCCACATCCCAGATGTATGAATCCATGCTTGTGTCAGGAGTGGAACCCTGGAATTCCAGGTTACAGTAAGCTACTGCCAATTTCCTGGGACCATCTGGGAACCAGGAAATGTGTGTGGAGGTTCTCTTGATTTCATTTGGATCTCTGCAAAAAATTACAGAATACATTTAATTAAAAAAAAGGTTAGAATAGTTAAATAAAAAGTTTTTTTAAGTAAGCCACAAATTCTATATCATTCTGATTAAGAAACTAAAAGCATTAAATTTTCATGTCTGACCACAATCATGTTTGTTCTATAGCAATCTTTAGAATAATATCTATCCATACCTAAATACATTGATTGTTTTTGCTGAAGGAGCCTCATCAACTGTGTCAACTTCAATGTCCTCAAAGTATTCTTGATAAATATCTATGGCATTGTTTTGTCTGATGGTATGTTCCATGATCTGTTAAATTGCATGAAATAAACTTGCGTATGAGACTATTATCCCTCATAGAGAAGGCACTGAATATTACACATAAAGAATCTTTTAATTAATAATTAACAAAACAAGTTTCCTTACTGTTCCTAATTGCTGGATGGCAGCAATGTACATTTCATCCTTCTCCACCTTCTTCCTGTACCTTGTGACGTGCTCCACTTCCTGTGGGTTGACATCTTTTGGCCATCCTCCCTCTGTGTGATTTATTCCCCTTGAACTTGTTTCAAATCTTTCAGTATTGATCTTCAAAGAGTAAAAAAACACATTTTAATTTAAAAAATTTGATTTCCTTGATGGTTCATAGGATTTGACAGGGTTTTTCAGTCAATTTCACATATTAGGTTTGTATCTCAAGTACATATCAGAGTATAGTATCTATACATACCTCATGTTCTGACATTTCCTGGACACATTGTATCCCTGTATCAACTGGATTTCTTTCAATAAAATTTTCTGCCAGAGATGGGTCTGGTGTAATGTCTACATGCAACTCTGCTTGTCTGTCTGAGAAGTTGCATTGTCGACCAAATTCTTGGCGCTTCTTTGTGTACACATACACAATCTCCATCTTGAGTTTTGTTAGTTCTTGTCACAACTTTCTATAGGATTAAATTGATAAAAACTTGGTGAATAAATGTGTGATTTCATTACATAATTTGTTCTTACATGTACAAATTGGCATGTCCCTTCACTTTCTTGTGCTATGAACTCTCTCTGGGTATGTGTGCATGAATTTTATGACACTGTGAAAGAACTGGGATAAACTTGATATTCTCAATCAAATTCACATTCTTGGCTTAATGTTGTTTCAGAAATGAGATGTATTTATAATAAACACCATCAAAACTTTACAAGTCGTTAATTGGCAATGGCGGGTATCAAGGTGTCACAAATGTAGCTTAATTGTGTTTGATGAGCATCAGTCTAAATTTTATTAAATAAATGTCTCCAAGGAACTGGAAGTCTCCCAAATTTCAATCAAGCATACTGAGAAACATTAATTCTAAGAGTCTAAATACTATAAAATTTATAGCTTGTACATTTATTGCAGTGTCTTAAAATTTGAGTATTTTTCCATATACTGTCAATGAAATATTTTCATCGCACACTTACTTACGATTGTAATTTTCACAAGGTCTCAATAAACAAACAAAAATCCCCTCTAACTTGGCATGGAGTACTTGCAGGTGTTGTCAAGAGTAACAGTAATCAAGCCATGCGCACTTGTTTCTTCCGAGTTTTAAATTTAAAGAGAACAAATATCAACGAAACGATCATATAAAATTTATTATAACAAAGTAATACAGGAACAAAATCTGATTATTTATTTATATAATTAAAAATGGTCTTTTTTAAATGTTAAAATTAAATAGCATGAATTTGTTTTTGGGAAATAGAAAATTACGTATTTTCTATTTTTGAAAAAAAAATCGGTAAAATTACAACATGGCGCTTTCTATGATCGACAGTCTCTTTTCTCAAGCAAGGTACATATATTCTAAATCGTCAAAGCTTTATTGATATTTTGTTTTACTTAATTGTTCATCCTGTTTACCATATGCAAAGTCATATGGATTGATTCCTCTTCTTTTAGTTCTTATCTAGCTCCCTCATATATAGCCCGAATTTTCTCTATTTACATTCAATTTGAGAAAAGGGAAAGTCTAATGTTGAATTTTCTTACACAAGTTTTGACGATATAAAGTGTAACGTTTAAGTTTTTCAGTTTATAAATGGTTATTCTTTCATAGTATATGACGTCAGACCACCTGTTCTAAATATCTGTAGAATTATCAGGGGGAGGGGCATAAGTGTTTATTAATATTATTATCATTTTTTAATAGTAAGACACCTCAAGAAGAAATTGACAGAATTTGTCATGGTATTCTGGAAAATCTTTATGCACCAGAGAAATCTACTGAATGTATGAACCAGCTGCGGCAACTCTATTTCATTCTACAGTCCTCTAGCACTGAGCCATGGTATGTGAAGTATATGTTGATGGTGCGACTGTTGGGGCGAGCTCAGTTGTGTATTATTGGATACCTATTCACTTTTGTAATAATTAAATCTGCCTTTTTAAAATGCACAATACATTTGGAACATCTAGACAGTGATGTCATTTGATGTCGTATGTTAGTTACATTTCCATATTTCGAAGTTTGAAAGGTGCAAATTTTTTAAAAAAAAGAATGTTTAATCCACTATCCATATGCAATATCCATTAAATCAAAGTGAGTTAATTTTTTGTGAACTTTTGTTGTTACCGCAGGAGTGTAGTTAGCAGCGAGATGCATTTGCATTGCATTGTGGGTCTTCAGGCTACTGTGGAAAAAAATTCATTTGGATCAATTTGCACAGTCCAAATTTTCTCTTCACCCATGCATTGCTTTAAGAGATCACAGTGTCGGGTGGCACTGGCTCTTACAATTAATGCCTCACATTATTTAGTGAGCAATAACAACCAATACACAAGAGCAGAAAAAAATTAATTGAGTCTGCACATTAGTCTAGCCAAATTTCTAGGCAGAGTTCTGACAATTTCAGAAACAGTTTACCTTAGTTCCTTAGGAATTTTGATAATGACGGAAAAAAAACAAAGGCAACAAAACCAAAGTGTGCTGCAAAGTAGATTGTATATTGAAAGTGCTTTATTTCTTTAAAAATCATCTTTATGTCTAGACATCTAACAGGCAAACTCATCTGTATGATGATAATGATTTATAATAATGAAATTCATGCTTTAATGATTTAAATTATACATGTATTACAATGCATACTTTAAAATTAAATAAAATTCCATTCCAATAAACAAAAAGAACAGATTACATCAGAAAAAACTGTTTACTTTACATAAGTATGGTTTGAAAAACTTGTAGTGTTGTGTTTTACATTTTGGGCAAATAAATATGGCAAATAACTATGGCGCTAAAGGAGTTGCCTATTCCATTAGCATATATGTTCCTGCTTTGACCATGCAGGGTCCAGGCCCAAAGATGATTGATATTTATTGAATATTTCGAGTGATCCAACAGAGTACATGTAATAGTGTACAGTTACTTTGAAGAAATTTAGTTGTGCAAAAAGAGAAGAAAGTTCTGTAATGTGTATGCCTTAATTATCTTTTTTTTTCCAACTTGAGTTCCGCATTTTTTTTTAATTGTCAAAAAGACATGAGGCATGCTCAAAAAAACTGGTAACTAACTTGTACAACTTACTTAGTACGGCATCTACATTTCTTAACTCCTAGGAATCCAACAGATAATTTTTATATATTGTGATGTAAAATCTGTGTCTCTTGGGTTCAGAGTTCAGCCCCAGAGTTAAGCTTAGTTGATCATATGTTGAAAAAGTCATATTTATCATGTTAAGTTAAACAAATATCCAGATGGTGGTATGAACTTTATTGGAAGAAGAAGACTGTCAACCATCTTATTTCAATATGACATTATCATTATTTTCATTATCTTTTCTTTTCAATGCTGTTATTAATTGTTGTCTGTCTTGAGTTCATAAGTTTAATATTTTTAGTTTGCCAAGAAACATGATTTCAACTTTGGTGAATATGGTGAGTTCTATGGATCATGACAAAACAAAAGAATGTCTCCTTTGTGAGCAGATTTTGGCTGAGCTTTTGCCACGTGATGAGGGTGATCTAGGGTCCGACTTCTATCCCAGCACAGGCTATCAATCATCCGAAGCCACGGCTAACTGCTTCTCTCTCTATCTAATACAGGTGAGATAACAGTGTAATTATAATGTAATAATGTAAATGTACTGGACTTTAAATTTTGGGGTTTTTTTGTTGTTTTTTTTATATATAAATTCAGGAATGATATGTACATAAGTCAATTTTCAAAATCAATAACACAAAGTCAGGAATAATATGTACATAAGTCAATAAGTCATAAAATGTGTACATTTTCACATCTGAATTCTATTACTCGCTAACATTATATGCAGTTGCATGTGCTTGATAAGATATTAAATATCATTAAATCATGGTCTTCTTGTTGAACACACAAAAGCCAGAGTATCAAAAATATTGCTTTTTACAATTTATGAACCAGTCATGTAATTGAATGTGTCCCTAGTAAAAGTAAGTATACAAGGATATGCAAGATGGTGAAAATAAGGAGTAGTTTAAATCTCATTTCAGGGAAACAGGAATTTTTGTTTAACTAACCTCATTCCACAAGCTGTAAGGTATTTTTTGTTTCTATTCTGTTAATTTTTAATACTCAAGACTTGTGTAATTGTACATTAGATGTACATAAAAAATGTTTTCATTTTGTATTTCATGCATATTATGTTAACAAATTAGACAACAGGCAATGCTCATGTAAGCCCTTTGGTAACATGGAGCCACCCGTTAGAATAAAGTTAAACTTAGTTTTTATATTTTAAAGGTGGATGTCCTCAGAAAAGGAAGATTTTAATGTTAAAAGACAGACCTTCTCCTTCCTAGTGTCAATACAGGTCCTACACAATAAACTTCTGTCAGAGGGTAAGTTATCCATACAAAGACAGGCCTTCTCCTTCCTGGTGTCACTTCAGGTCCTACACAATAAACTTCTGTCAGAGGGTAAGTTATCCATACAAAGACAGACCTTGTCCTTCCTGGTGTCACTTCAGGTCCTACACAATAAACTTCTGTCAGAGGGTAAGCTATCCATACAAAGACAGGCCTTCTCCTTCCTAGTGTCACTTCAGGTCCTACACAATAAACTTCTGTCAGAGGGTAAGCTATCCATACAAAGACAGGCCTTCTCCTTCCTAGTGTCACTTCAGGTCCTACACAATAAACTTCTGTCAGAGGGTAAGTTATCCATACAAAGACAGACCTTGTCCTTCCTGGTGTCACTTCAGGTCCTACACAATAAACTTCTGTCAGAGGGTAAGCTATCCATACAAAGACAGGCCTTCTCCTTCCTAGTGTCACTTCAGGTCCTACACAATAAACTTCTGTCAGAGGGTAAGTTATCCATACCATGACAGGCCTTCTCCTTCCTAGTGTCACTTCAGGTCCTACACAATAAACTTCTGTCAGAGGGTAAGTTATCCATACAAAGACAGACCTTGTCCTTCCTGGTGTCACTTCAGGTCCTACACAATAAACTTCTGTCAGAGGGTAAGCTATCCATACAAAGACAGGCCTTCTCCTTCCTAGTGTCACTTCAGGTCCTACACAATAAACCTCTGTCAGAGGGTAAGTTATCCATACAAAGACAGGCCTTCTCCTTCCTAGTGTCACTTCAGGTCCTACACAATAAACTTCTGTCAGAGGGTAAGTTATCCATACAAAGACAGACCTTGTCCTTCCTGGTGTCACTTCAGGTCCTACACAATAAACTTCTGGCACATTTCAGGTCCTACACAATAAACTTCTGGCAGAGTATTAGCTGTACATGTATAGTGCTGAGCTCACAAGCAACCATGATGCATAATCTTTTTTCATTGTGCCAGTTTATTCTTTTTTTTACTCAGAGACCCTGAAAGAAGTTAATAGTACAGTGAGTGATTGGTTGATGAATGCCTCTCTGTATCAACTCCCAAATCCTTACACCATTAATCCTTTCAAGAAAGACCAGGCCACTGTTGTAAATGAAGTAGATGGAACTCCCAGCAGAAATTTCTTTACTGTGCTCAATGTTGGTATGAAATTTCTGATTGTTTTTTATTAGTAGCATTAACTTGTTTTAATTATATTCTGATTTTTAAAGTTCCATGTTTAATAATACAAATTGTTAGGCCATTGTTGTCAAACTCATGCTGACAACAGATTATCCTTTTTAACTGTTTATATAATACACAGGACTCACAGCTGGTGTGACAGGTCATCAGGGGATGCTTTATCCTCCTAGGCACCTGATCCCACCTCTGGTGATTCCAGGGTTTTTATTTTTGCCCTGTTCTTGACTTATGTTGTTCATGACTTTGACTGTATTATGTTATCTTCACCTTTTTCTTGACTTAAGATGACTGGCTTTTAAGTCTTTTGGATATGTGTTTAACTTGTCAATGATTACACTGTGTATCCCTTTCTCAATACTTATGTCTTTATTTTAATACTACAGTAAAACTCAGATGTAAAGAACATGCTTATAAGGAAATCTTGATTATAAGGAATTATTTTAGGAATCCCATGATAAGACTTTTCATTATTTTCTTCATACTGATATGAAGAATATCACTCATAAGGAAGTAAAATTCAAGGTCCAAGTGACTTCCTTCTAACCGAGTTTTAATGTATGTGTATATAATGATATTATTTGTATTAAATTTTCACCTCTTGCAGGCCAGTATTACACAAATGACCAGTTCTTGAACATCTATAGTTTCTCTATGTTGTACAAATGGTTGTACCACTCCCATGTTACTAGTGAGGAGAGCCAGGAAGTATCTAATAAATCTGCCCATGTGTTCAACTCTTTAGTAGATAAATCCATCGATTACTGTTTTAGAATACTGGACCAGTGTGAAAGAAGTAAGATTTGTGTTTATATTTCTTTTTTTTCTTTATTACGTTATACAAATTTATTAAATAAGAAGTTCTGTAAAATGGTGCTCATCTGGGTGTATTTTCCAGAACCTAAAGTTGCATCAGACGTAGACCTCCAAAACTGTGTAAGTATATTTTTTTCCCATACTTCTGAATATTTTAGGCCCCATTTTACAAACATTCCTGAAGCATTAGCTACATGTATAGGTCTCCATCTTTGTCTACTTACCAGTGTTTGTTGGAGATAGTAAATATCCTGGACATCATTTGTAAGATAGAACCAGGTCGGGTTGCACGAGTTTTCCAGGAGGTGCGTCGATTGTACAACAGACTAGCAGCAGAACCAGACAAAGCCAGACTTCTCATTCCAGTTCTACAATTCTTCCTTAATCATGGTATTATGTAAAAATACATATAAATAAATGTTGTTTCTTTACTCTATTACTTATGAATCATTCTCATCTTGGAATACTGTACTTTCAAACCAATACTTTTGTGTCACTCCCTTGATATTTTCTGCATTTAATATTAGTATAATTCAATATTAGTGTAATTTCTACATTTTTTTTTTTTTTTTTTTTGGCATTTTCCTTCCCATGCAGGTAAAAGTGTAGAGCATGACCCACAAGAGGCGTATACATTGTTTTTCCACAAGTTGCTGACTCAGTGGTACTTAGACCCAGCCTTCAGTTTTGATACAGTCACCTTTATTAAAGATAACCTTGAAACTCTCTGTCACAACACATCCATACTGTCTACATACTTTCCCAACATCCTCAAGGTCTGCGTGAAAGACATTACATATAAATTAACCAGAGTAACAGCTTAACCTGAAATAAACAGATCTATATGGTATAATTTAGGTGCATGTTGTTGTAATTTGCAGATTCTAGCCTGGAATCCTCGGACTTATTTGACTGATTTTGAAGATATACTGCCAGCACTGATGTCTCCCTCCACCGCTACTGAAGTGAGTAATGTATAACACTTTCATGAAAGTGTGGATTTAACAGAAGTTGGACTAAGCACAACATTTTGTTAAGCAATTTAAAAACATTGAGTCAATTTAAGCATGTTAGTGTGAAAAATGTATAAATTTGCTTACTTTTGGTCCCATGCCATGGACATGGTCTTATTATGCATAATTATACATGTATAATATAAATGGATGCTTCTTTTTGCAGAGGTTGTGTTTGGGGGGGGGGGGGGTCAATTTTGTTTTTAAAAAAAACCATAGTTAAAGCTGAACACGTCTATTAAAAGGAAGTGATTTATTCTCATCCACCATATTCTTCTTCATTTGCTTCTATTTAAGCCTCTGATTTCTTCATGAATTGAAGTATTTCACTGTACAGATTTCACCTGTGTGGATGTACATCTTACATTGCAATTGCTACTCTGTCATGATAAAATTATAAAATGAATGCAACTATGCCATACCAGTATGGAAATAAATGAAAATAGTATCATATATCATGCCAGGAGAAAAAGTGACATCTATTGCACAGGTTAATGCATTACAAAGACGAAATGCATGTAAAACATGCATGGTTTGTCGCCCTGACTCTCTTTCTCAGTCCCTACTGTTTTTACTTTTCTAAGTATTCCATATGTTGTTGGATTTGCCCTGTGTGACAGTTGCTTTAGAGGTAACTGAGGTTTGTCACCCTGACTCTTTTCTCAGTCTTTACTGTTCTAGGTTTTCCATATGTTGTTGGATTTGCCCTGTGTGACAGTTGCCTTAGAGGTAACTGAGCGATGTAAGAAAAGTGAGGCTCAGACATTGTCCACTGAGACTGAACCAATCAGCTCACTGTCAGCATTCCAGAGTGCCCTCTACAGGCCAATGTTTAATTTCTTCACAAGAGTGGAGGGAGGGCACGGAGATACCATAAATAGGTCAGTGGTTTACTTTGTGCATAAAACAAGTTAATTATCACATTCATACAAACATTGTGGATTCTTATAAGATACAGAGATATTATTGTGTGTTTTTAAACCATCAGTTTATATGAGCACTATAACATTTCATTAGTCATAATTATGTTCTCTCAACAGATTGTCTTCCTTCCATAATATTCTGAGGGATATGAACCAGCATCCACGAGTGGTTGTCTGCTCTCAGATTGTGCCTGTTTTGTTAAGGTTAGAATGTCTTCTTGTTCTTGCTCTTTAAGATTTCATTATGCTTTCTAAAAGAGGAGCATATAGTTGCTGTCTTAACATCTCCATTGCATGCCTGTGATTGCTTGACCTATTCATTCATATTCAACATACATGTACCAGGTACTTTAAACAATTCCTGGGTAATGAGCTTCACTTCACTATTGAGACCCCTCAAATTAAAAATCTTTTTTGATTTTGACTTTAAATGTGGTCTAACTGAACATTGATCATATTTTACATGTTTTTGTTTTAACTTTGGTTATGTAGTGAACAAACCTTCAGGTGCAAGGTTCATCTGGACTACAATGTAGTATTTTTAGATATTGTCAGAGCCATATCTCTGACTTAAAAGTATATGTTTGAATTCATATTGTGCATGATGCCCACACCATCAATAAAATTGTGATATTGTCTCTTCAGTATCAAACACAGTGTAAGGCTTCTGGGTATGACTTAGAACTACATGTACATGTCTAGGTTAACCTGTTCCTGTTCGAAAGGTCAAATTGTATTATCGTAAAAAAAAAAAAATTGAATTTTTTTTTATATCTGTGAACATTCAGTATGCTACATGTGCTCTTCTTCTTTTTTATGTAAAACAAGAGCTGAAAAGGAACCCTGTATTTTACTATTTTTTTTTCTTGCATTGTAACATGTTTGACAAAAGAGAATTGTTTTGTTGGAAGTTTGGAAAAAAAAAAGGGGGGGGGGGGCATGCAGATATATACTTCATAATCTAAAGGCACATAAATATTTGATTTTTAGGAGAATGATACAGGAGTAATGAAACATATTGCAGGGAGAAACAATTTTACAAGCAGTAGACACCTGAATATATAATTATGTTATCAGTGGGGTAATTTTTGTTACAAAGTTTTGTAGTGACCAGGTGGGGGATGATACCTAGTAAGTAAATTTTATACTTGGCGAGGTGAAGCCAAAATTATTAGCACACCTTTTGAGTGAGGAAATTGACAAATTTTGCACCCACTAAAGAAACCGTTATTCGGTATAAGTTTACAAAAGCGTGTTTGCTACTCTCCTAAAGAAATGATAGAAATGAAATATAGATAAGGTGAATATATGGAATTACTTAGTCACATATTTGATTTTAGGAGAACAATACAGTACATGTATGTGTCTTTTATGTTTCAGGATTTGGTTTGATGTTGTATTGGAGGATGCCTCATCAGAGTTTGGGTCTCAGTTAATTCCAGTCCTTCTAGAGAGAACAGCTTCATTGTACAGTATTCCAGGCTATCAAGCAGATGTCAAAAAGTCAGTCTATACATTAATTATCCAGTGTAGCTGTAGTTCTGTAAATATACAACATTGAGGCCTATTCCTGGCAATTTTTTGATAGGGAATACTTTGATTTATAGGGTTTTGTCAGAAAATTTGGTGCATCTTTTGAAGAAGCATCCAGGAATAATTTTGGATCAGGCCTCAGAAATTAAAGATTTCCTCATAAGTCCAAGGAATATTTCAGAACGAGAGGAATTCTTTGCAAATCTGGTCAGCTTTTCTTTTCTAGTGCCTCTCATCTTTTATACAGTTTAAGCACAGTTTTACTTTAAATTTAAATAAAATGTGAGTTACTGTGACTTATCAAACTGAACTTGATCAAAAGAAATTTTTTTTTTTTGTGATTGAATATAACAAATTCTTAACTGTCAGAATATTTTTTTGCCACATTTGATGCAAAAAGTCACAAAACATTCTCTTCAATTTCTATGTAGGTTTGGTGTGTTGGTGAGTTATGCTCAGTCAAGCATGACAAAAGATGCTCAGCTGAAACAATTACAAGATTTTTTGATACACTTGAGGTGTTGTCTTATGAACTCTCAGGGATGACATCTACAGATGAAGGATTTGCAGATTCCTCAAAAATCATTTGCATGTTAATGTCAGCAATATCAAAGGTTGGTCATCACAGCTGCTTAATAATACAATAATCATGTGCATTCTCACAATATACGTGTATATGCAGTGTCTAATCTGTTCATGATTTGTTGAAATTCTTTCTTTAGTTAGCTTCCAAATGTCAAGACCTGATTCCTCGATCAATTCTTCTCCTGACTAAGGTTGCTAAGCAGCAGCAAGCTGGTTACTTGGATACAGAAGTAAAGGATGCACTGGTTGGAAGGGCACAGGAACTCATCAACCTTCTTAAACTTCCAAAGTTTGTATCTTTTACATTTCTTATGGTCAAGAGTTCAAGCTCTGAAGAAGAATTGAACTCAACTAAAAATCACCCGGGAAAGACCCTTTAACCACAATACTAACCTGAGTCATCAATGAGAAATTTTAAATTTTGAATTTATGGTGTCCTTTATGGAGTTGTTAGGCTTTACATTCAGCAGTAAATCTACAACACTTAAGGTTCATAATCCCTTTGTTCAATCATATAACTTAAAAGTGTTGCTTCAATGCTGATGATTTTCCAAAAGAAAGGTATTTTATAAGTAAAATGCAAAAAAGTTTAGCTTGTGAGCAAAATTTTAACTAGTTTTCCAGTTTAGAGTTATCTCTCTTAACACAGTATCCTTGAACTTTAAGTTGCTTGCATATTTTCCCTGTTGGCCATGAGAGCTCCCCATTAGATAATATTTTTAAGTTGAAGCTCTATTTTGGCCCATCAGGAATATAACAGGGTGCATGTTTTTAAATTTCATCACAATTTTAGTAAAATTTTCACATGTAACACTCTTACTATGAGAGTTGTATTCTAGCAATCTGTATTTTTATTGTAGTTTTGCCAATGTTGTGTTTAACCCTGATGATGACATAGAGACTGGAAGGTGGCACAGAGACAATACAAGTTTACCTATTACCCTCAGGGGAATCCAACATGTGTTATCATAGCTTCTTAATAGGAATATCAATCACAATTGTCTATGTATACCGAAAAATAACTTATTTTCATGGGGATTTAAGAAAAAAAATATTGGAATTGATTTCAGAGTTAAGTATAGTTGACAAGCATGATACTGAGGACATAAATCTGTGGGTCTCTCTATACCACAAAAACAACAAAAGTTATCCCCCCCCCCAAATGCAATTTTCAGAGTAATTTACCGGGTACATGTTCTTCAATACACCAAATATTGAAGACTAAAAGTTGATTTTGGTCTTTCTCTCTGTCCAGGACTTTAACCTTGAACTATATAAAATCTTCATATTTGGTCATAATAATTGAGGTCAGGGTCAAGGTATATAGTCAAATTAAGGCCTTAAAAGTGAATTCCAGTATCAAACTTCTATATCTACAATGTACATGCATATAGTTTGCTACCAAAGGCATCAGTGTTTCACAAACACATCAAGTTTCTTCTAATTTCATACATTTCTATGAATCCATAGTCATAGATAAATTTTTCCTAGAACAATTGTAAGGGGACAGTGCAATTTTTTTTTGATGAACGTACATCAATTTTTATTTATATTACTTAATATTTATATTAAAATGTTCATGAACATTTTGTTGTTATGTATTTTTTACAGACCAAAACAAACAGAATCTTTTAGGCATTTTAGGTCACCTTGGTCACTCAGGTGACCTATTGCTATCTGTTTTTGTCTGTCGCCATGCATCATTCGTAGTGTGTTAACATTTTAACATTTTCAGCTTCTCTGCAACTGCTGAACCAATTTCAACCAATTTTGGCAGGTAGCATCTATGGGTAGATGGGAATGAAATTGTGAATTTCATGGTCCCCACCCCCCTCGGACCTGAGGGGTTGGTGGGCTAAAATCACCAAAATTAGTGCTATCTTTTAAAATCTTCTTTACTCCTGGACATCAATCAGTCAAACTGTTGGTGTGATTGTAATCAGCATTGAGCCCTCTACCAAAATTGTGAAATTCATGGCCCCAGGGTCAGGGGTCCTGGAGTTCGGGTGGGGCTCGATCAGATAATGAAAGGTCATAACTGCTTTGAAATCATCTTCTCTGCTCCTTGGTATTAAGCAAACAAACTTTGTGCATAGTGTTGATGAGGAAGGGTACCTCTTCCAAAATTGTGAATTACATGGCCCCTTGGTCAGGGGTCCTGGTGTAAGGGTTCTGTTGATAATATAGTGAAAATGCCTTATTGCTTTGAAAATCATCTTCTCTGCACCTGGGTATTTAGCAGATAAACTAGGTGCCTGGTTATGATGAGCAAATGTGCCACTCTTAAAATTCGGAAATTTAAAGCCCCTGGACCAGGTTTTTTTGTTTGGGTGGGGCTCTGTTGAGTATATAGTGAAGATGCATTGTTTCTTTGATATTCTTCTGATCTGCCTTTATGTTTTTAGCAAACATGCTTAGTACATGGTTATGATGAGCAAGGGTGCTGAATTGTGAATTTCTCAGCCCCTGGGTCAGGGGCTCTGGTGTTAGGTATTGATTATTTAGTGAGAACTATTTCTTTGAAAATCTTCCTCTCTGCTCATGGGTATTAAGCAAACAAATTTAATTCAATGTCATGATGAGCAAGGTGCCTCTTCTAAAATTGTGAAATTAATTCTCCCAGGGTCAGAGGCTCTGGTGTTAGGGTGGGGTTCTATTGATAAAAAGTGACTTTGATAATCTTCCTCTCTGCTCCTGGGTATTTAGCAGATAAACTACGTGCATAGTGATGAGCAAAGGTGCCACTTAACATTGTGTGACCCAAAGTTTGTTGGGGGAGTGGGGGGTTCTGTTACTTATATACAAGTAGTAAAAAATGCATTATTTCTTTGAAAATCTATTTTTATGCTCCTGTATACTTAGCAGATAAACAAAATTGCGTAAAATCTGTGGCATCAGGGTCAGGGGTTCTGGTGTTGGGGATGGAGGGGGCTATATTGATTATGTAGTGAAAATGCATTATTTCTTTGGAATCTTCTCTGCTCCTGATTATTAAGCAAAAAACTAAATGCATTGGTAAGATGAGCATCGGTGCATCTTCCAAAATTGTGAATTTCATGCCCCTGGGTCAGAGGATCTGGTGTTAGGACGTGGTTCTATGGATTACATATTGAAAATGCATTATTTCTTTGAAAATCTTCTCTGCTCCTGGGTATTTAGCAGATAAACTTTGTGCATGGAAATGATGAACAATGGTGTTTCTTCCTAAAGTGTGAAATTCATAGCCCCTGAACCAGGGAATTTGGTGTTAATTCTATTGGGCTCTATTGAATATATAGTGAAAATGCATTGTTTTTTCATAGTCTTCTGCTCTGCCCCTAGGGTTTTAGCAAACATACTTAATATTGCATAGTTATAATGAGCAAGAGTACCTCTTCCAAAATTGTTAACTTCTTGGCCCCTGGGTTAGGGTCTATGGTGTAAGATTGGGACTATATTGAATATATGGTGAAAATACATTCTTTGAAAATCTTCTTCCCTGCTCTTAGGTATTAAGCAAACAAACTAATTGCAGTGTTTGTTGAGCATGGGTGCCTTTTCAAAAATTGTCAAATTAATGGCCCCAGGGTCAGGGTTCTTGTGTTAGGGTGGAGTTCTATTGATTATATGGTGAAAAGGCATTAATTCTTTGAAAATCTTCAACTAAATGCATAGTTATGATAAGCAAGTGTGCCTCTTACAAAATTTTGATTTTCATGGCCCCTCAGTCATGGGCTCTACTGTTAGGGTGGGGCTGTGTTGAATCTTTAGTGAAAATGCATTATTTCTATGCAAATCATCTTCTCTGTTCCAGGAGGAAACATGGTACAAATTTGTAATAAGCAGGGTATTTTTACCAGGTTTTGAAATTCTGGACCACTTGGTCAAGTGTTTTGGTGCTGGCAGGGCTCTATTTTTATTCTACTGAGAGAAGTTATTTCCCTTTTCTATTTGCCTATGACAGTTAATCACTGTGAATAATGTAATTAAATGGTCAATTGTATAAGAGATTTATACAAGAATTTTTATGATACATAATACTGTGATAGTGACAAATTGCATTGACAGACTTAGGATACCTCACACCAGTGCCTTTAAATTGTGAAGTTTGGGATTCAGCTGGTTAATATCTTTGAACACGTTCAACGTTAAGTACAATCATGTACATTTACTATAAAATATGACATTTTGGAAAATAATTTCAAGATGGCACTTTAAAAATTTGATTAATAATCCCTATATTGCATCTTTTACAGTTTTATTCACACTGTGATGTTCTTATTGTATGCTATGTTTGCTTCTTTCTCAATATTAAGAGACGAGAAATAATTTTGGAACACACACTTTTAATATTACTCAGAAATTTATTCATGTTCACATAAAAAGTACACATGGACATGTAATGAGATGTACAGTGTATAATATAAAACTTTATAATTTAAGCCCATTGATCATTACATGTACAAGTAATGAGTATACACATAGTTTTAACACTAATGTTGTACATGTAAAATTTTCAGTAACATGAATATGTTTAACTTCTGAAGTTTTAAAAAACATGTATGTATGTTGTATAAAATATTCCTTATATAGACTGTGAAATCATAGCGTAGCACAAGTACATACATGGAAAATCTCAATAAAGTTCAGTTTCTGAGGGATGTGAGGCAGTTTACTTTGGAATGGAATTAAATTAAGTGGTTTATATTTAATACATCTTGTAGTGATAACAATGAATGCAGAAATTTCATCAGCAAAAATGCAGGCAAAAGAGATTTTCTTGCTGTATGTGTAATCATGAAAAATGAGCTCTAACAAAAACTAACACCAGGACTATTTTTTTAAAAAGAGGTAAACTTTTGTAACTTTATAGAAAAATATTTCAACGTTTTAAGATGACAACAAAAAAATAACAATGCCCCCTAGAATATAGAAATATATATCCATGTTTTTGTTTCCCCGTTTTTATCTATAACAAAAAAACTATACAGGGAAATTATCAACCAAATGACACATTGAATTACCTCTATGTTTTTTATATGCCCTGGCACCACTCTGAAATTCAGTACACGAAACACAAGAAGCATGTTTAACCTACTTCAGAACTTTATTTCCATTATAAAATTGTCTGTTTTGTTGTTGTTGTTTTGGTTTTTTTTTGCGATGTACAAGGATATGAAACTGATATCAAATCATATTTAACAACTTTCTATGATATATGGAATGTTGTATAATTCATGTTTTGAATTTCTATATGAAATGAATACTAAACAAATGGATTGTGGGGGCTAAACAGTACATCAATTTCCTGACTGAAAACCGCTATTTCTTGGAAGGTGCATGTAAGGTTTTGCAGCGTAAACCATGTTCATTTTGGGGGCTAACAAATGCTGCAGTTAATATTCACAGAGATAATAATAATACCTATCAAGTCTAGTAAAAGTTGCTACATGTACATGTTATTGTAATTTCAACCAGTGAAAACACCCTCCAAATACAAATATCCGATAACAAAGGTATTTATTTTAAAAGACGATACAACAAATACCAGTACAGCATACTGTCTAATCAGAAAACTTTTCTTCAACACTTATGCAGTTGAAAATTTATAGAATTAGGCACCAAGCAAACATAACACACTAACAAGCACCTTTTGTTCTTAAAGAATGAGAATTATAATCACCTTTCACATGCATAACATCCATACTTGCACTTTCCCCATCACAATGTGAAAAAATATTTGTTCTAGTATTATAACACTGTAAAATTGTCCACCTCTCCAACATCAGATAGATTCTCTCCATTTACATTGTAAGATATCTTGAATTTTAATCGCACTTTTTCCTGAAATGACAAGTCAATTATGAGTGCCAAAATTATCAAAATACTTGTACAGGGTACAAGTTTATTCAGAAAAACTTTTTTCCATTCAAGTATATTACTTTAATAGTAATATTCTTTTATGGGGTTTTAATACAGTAAAACACGCTTATAACAAAGCACCAAGGAGGGATATTTTTGCTTCGTTCTAAACATAATTTGTTATATCAGTTGAGTTCACAAAATATTTAAAGCAATGGGGGGATGAAAACAACTTCAATTTAAGTGTCAATTTATTATAAGCGTGTTCGCTATAAGCGTGTTTTACTGTATTCCTAATAATATCTTATCCAAACAGACAGTCTACTTCAGATTATTAATTGACAGTATATATAAGTACAGTTCATTTGGACTGTAATAAGGAATGACTTGATAACTGTCTTTACCTTTTGTGGGTTGGCCAGCAACATAACTTGAGTGATGGCAGCAGGTGGGAGAATAGGATTGTATGCAGGTAGATCAGTGGCTGAAGGGGGCTGTAGTTTAACTTTCATCACCTGACAAATAAAGCAGTACACACAAGTTTCCTGATTATCAAGGGTAAAAATATCAGCCATTGTGTGTCTTAGTTATTGTACAACAAGAGGCCCAGGGGCCACATCGCTCACCTGAGCACTTTGGCTAGGAAAAAGCAGAAATCACTTCAATCTTGAAAGGTTGAAAAGTTTAAATATAAAAGTGGTTGGGAGGGGGGGGGTCAGGAATTGAACAAATTTGAATCTACATTGTCTGAGGATGCTTCCATTTAGATATGACCAATCATGGCTTTGCTGTTCTTGAGTAGAAGATTTTTAAAGATTTAACCTATGTATTCCTATGTAAAACTTTGATCACCCATTGTGGCCCCACCCGATCCCCAGGGGTCATGTTTGAACAAACTTGAATGTACACTATCTAAGAATGCTTCCATATAAATATGACCAATCATGGCTTTGCTGTTCTTGAGAAGAAGATTTTTACTATGTGTTCCTATGTAAAACTTTGATCGCCCATTGTGGCCCCACCCGACCCCCGGGGGTCATGAGTTGAACAAATTTGAATGTACACTATCTGAGGATGCTACCATATAAATATGACCAATCATAGCTTTGCTGTTCTTGAGAAGAAGATTTTTACTATGTGTTCCTATGTAAAACTTTGATCGCCATTGTGGCCCCACCCGACCCCCGGGGGTCATGAGTTGAATAAATTTGAATGTACACTATCTGAGGATGCTTCCATGTAAATATGACCAATCATGGCTTTGCTGTTCTTGAGAAGAAGATTTTTAAAGATTTTTCCTATATATTCCTATGTAAAACTTTGATCGCCCATTGTGGTCCCACCCGACCCCCGGGGGTCATGATTTGAACAAATTTGAATCTACACTACCTGAAGATGCTTCCATGTAAATATGACCAATTATGGCTTTGATGTTCTTGAGAAGAAGATGTTTAAAGATTTTTCCTATATATTCCTATGTAAAACTTTGATCGCCCATTGTGGCCCCACCCTACCCCCGGGGGTCATGATTTGAATAAATTTGAATGTACACTATCTGAGGATGCTACCATATAAATATGACCAATTATGGCTTTGCTGTTCTTGAGAAGAAGATTTTGAAAGATTTTTCCTGTATATTTCCTATGTAAAACTTTGATCGCCCATTGCGGCCCCACCCTAGCCCCGGGGGTCATGATTTGAACAAACTTGAATCTACACTACCTGAGGATGCTTCCACATAAGTTTCATGTTTTCAAGCACAGTGGTTCTTGAGAAGAAGATTTTTTAATGATGCCATTAATTTTTCACGAATTCTTAATTATCTCCCCTTGGAAGAGGGCGTGGCCCTTCATTTGAACAAACTTGAATCCCCTTTACCCAAGGATACTTTGTGGCAAGTTTGGTTGAAATTGGCCCAGTGGTTCTTGAGAAGAAGTCGAAAATGTGAAAAGTTTACAGACGGACAGACGGACAGACAGACGGACAGACGGACTACAGACAAAATGTGATCAGAAAAGCTCACTTGAGCCTTCGGCTCAGGTGAGCTAAAAATGAAATACATGTGACTAGTCTTTACATGTGTAAGGTTTTTGATAACTATACTAATCTTGTTCAAGAAATAAAGGATAAACATATTCTTTAGACTTAGTTCTACAATATCATTCCTCTACTCGGTCTACATACCTTTGGAACAGCGGCTTGAAAGACAAAATTCTTGACTGGGTTTGTGTTCGTACTAATTGTAGATACAACCATGACTGTGACATCCTCCCTAGGTTTATTCTTGGCTAAATGTATCACAATTTTTAGTCCATTCTTATCATATGCATTCACTGGAGCTGTGCTTTCTGCAATTAAGTTTGTAAATAACCATGTACAGTGCATTTGCTAATCATGGTTATTCATCTTGGATAAAGTTTTTCATTTTGAAATTCACAAACCTCAGAAACTATTTCAACTTAAGGTCACACGATATGTTCCTCAATAATACATATTTTTTTCCAAAGAATTTGTCATTGAAATACTGCTACTCTAACAAGTTTCCTCACAAAAAATTGAGGTACCTTACCAAGCATTTGTGCAAGATACCAGAGGGTGGCGGTTCCTATATAATCCTATTTGAAATCACTTGAATTGTTAATATAACAATTTTTGTTGTATCTATTTTCTAAGACATTTTGAAAACAGTTTAGAAATCACAAGATAATGTTAATATTATGAATATTTCTTATATTTTACAAGGAGAAACAAAACAGATATTTGAAGATCGTGTCATCAGACCTTAACACAAACATACATGTACATGTATGTAATCAAAGATTACAAAGCTAATCTCAACAAATGTTATCTTTAATGCAAAGTCTCAAACTTAATAAATATTCTGGTAGTAAGCATCCCTGTGCAACATTTATACAAGTTTGGTCTGTGTAGACTATTTAGGCACTTGGAAATGGGCTTTTACATTCAATTAATTGGAAAAAGTACCCGGTAAGTGAAATTTGGTAGGAATCAGAGTTATAAAGAAATATCTTCTCTCAACAGACTGGCTACAATTAATCATATGCTGTAGATTCCTTTTATGCAAGTACAGGTAAACTTCGGTATCTCGACATCGACGGGACCATCGGAAAATGTCGAGATATCCGAAGTGTCGAGATATCAGAGTTGAGACTTGACGTGCAAGATTTCACTGCATAGCAAAACAGACAAGCTTATTATATGTACATGACTTCAATATAGACTGTAGCTCAACATATTTCAGAATTTCCTCTATTTTTATTAAAAATCTAAGAAGTTATTGTAAAATCTTGTTTATAAAACGTGTTCTTTATCGAAATTTTTTATTCACAAAGTTTCAGCACAAAGTTACAGCATTCGCGTGTAACTTGCCTTTTCGTCAGAACAGGATACGAAATGCGCTCTAAAAACTTCGAACCGTATGCAGTCGACATCCGATATACGGAAAAAATTAAATGCGGATTATTTCTTTTTTTATTTCATTCAGGAAGAATGTACATTAAAATTAATTTTTTAAAGAGATTTGTGTATCTAAACTAACGTAGTGATGTTACAGATGCATGAATTACGGCTGATTTGGTCAATCGTGTCGTTAATTGGACTGTTTCCTGTTGAATACATTTTAACTAAAAAATATCATTAAAACATCTTTTAATTCCTTAGTTTGAATCATTCAGTGTGTTTGTTATTCATTGTAATTTAGTAACCTTTTTCATATTTAAAAGTTATGTTAGGTTTCGATATAAATAACTGTCTGTACATTTACGCAGAATCGTGTAGATTTATCAATGACATTACCCAAGCTGAACATTAAGCAATTAACTTCTCAAAGACACCGAGGGGGCTTGGGATTCACCCACAGACACAGTCTATAGAATTAATTAAGCAGCGTGCAGTCAAAACCCGGAGTCCTCTGTGCGTGACGAGCGACCCTATCTGACAAACAGGTTCAGTAGAGCAGAAAATTGCCAATGTCGACATATACCAGGTAAATTTTGCTCTTGGGACTGTGAATATACGTCGAGATAACCCAGGTTGTCGACATTACCGAGGTCGACATATCAGAGTTTTTGCAAATCTTTTATATAGTAAATCCTGCCGGGACCGCGGAAGGACGTCGACATATCCCAGGTTGTCGACATATCCGATGACGAGATACCGAAGTTTACCTGTAATTAATATCATACTTTGTCTCGTTGACATCACATCATGAGAACCTGAATTTGCAAGTCTTTTGATCTCAAATTATTACATGTATTTCAGCCATATACATAAAAATAAAACAAAGTAATTTTAAATCGCAAATGGTACTTCTCACGAAATTACACGATCATAACTTTCTTGTGTATATATTTAGGAATCTACAGTACATGAACATGTTTTTTAAGAAATAAGGTAATTTTTTTGTAGTTATTTTTCAAGATTGACAGAATGAATTTTCAAAATTTTTTTTTTTTTTTTTTGCTTATCAGAAAAAAGTCGGCATATTTTTTTTTAAAATTAAACCTAGCAAGCATTCTGAGAGTATTGCATTAGCAATACTAGTCCCCTACCGGCAAGTGTAATCTGGTTCCCGTTAGAAATTGAAAATGCCATAATTCCGTCAAAAATCAATGAAGCGGGACGAAATGCAAACTTGATCTATAACTAATCAAGGTAAAGTCACATACCAAAAATCAGCTCAATATCTGAAAGCGTTTAGAAGAAAATTGCGGAAAACCCTTAAAAATTGAAAAGGCCGTAATTCCGTCAAAAATCAATAAAGCGGAACGAAATGCAAACTTGATCTGTAACTCAGCAAGATACACTTACATACCAAAAATCAGCTCAATATCTGCAAGCGTTTAGAAGAAAAGTGCGGAAAACCAAGTGGGACAGACTGACAGACAGACAGAGGGACAGACAGACAGACAGACAGACAGACAGAGGGATGGACAGACTCAGAGGAAACCTATAGTCCCCTCCGGTTTCACCGGTAGGGGACTAATAATTCAAGGTTTGATATCCTATATATTTTAAAATAGATGTTTAAGATGTTTTGTTTCAACTCTAGACACTGAAATATAACTCAGTTGTTGAGTGAAATTGCAAATTGCAATTTGAAACTTTTTTTAATTAACATTATTTTAATTTGGGGGGAGGGGAGGAGACAAGATTAATTCCAATGCTGAGTAATTATTTGTCTTTGCTTTAATTTTTTTCTAACCTACCTAACGACCCAATTTTCAGGAAAAAAAGTCTCGAAAAACAGAAAAATACTATAAAATGGCCCAAGGTATTAGTTTTAAACATCTACTGGAATAAGGATATTGGTTAGTCATGTAATCAGGGCTTTCAGGTAGATGCTCATCTGTTTGTCTGTCTGTCTGTATGTTAACTTTTCTCATTTTTAACTTCTGAAAACCACTAGTCCAATTTTAAATAAACTTGCAAAAGAGTATCCTTGGGTAAAGGGAATTTATGTTTGTTCAAATGAAGGGCTCAGCCTCCCCTTCCATGAGGAGGCAATAATAAATAGTAAAACCAGTATAAAGAAGGATTTACCCCTATTTCCTGAGATAAATGAGTGTATGTGACAATCTGCCTTAGAGATCATGCAGCACTTACCAGGTTGTATAGACTCAAGTGGAACATTAACATCAGTGAGGGCCATGACTTGTAAGCCCTGCTTGACTGGGGTTGAGGATACAGGGGATGGCTGAGAAACAGGCAGCTGAGCAGGTGCAGGATTATCAAGCAAGTTATTCCCTGGTGAGAGCTGGGGAGATGCTGTCTTGGACAACATCTGATTCATGGGGACTTTTTGACTGGGAATAGAAATGATAATGAAACATTTTGCACTATTATTCTATGTATCAGTAGTAACTACACATTTCCATTTCATTCATTTTATCTGGATACAAGCAGTCTGAAAATTTATATAAATTGCTTTGAATAAGAAAATACATACATATAACAGATACATCAAGAAGAATTTTTAGGTTAATTCTTGAAATAAAACTAAATTTAATGCAAATATGCAACAACAAAAAATAATTGAGACCCAAGGGCCTTAATGATCACGAGTATAATACAACCCTGAACAGAGAAGACTTTCAAAGATTTAATGCATTTCCAGAAATTTCATAAATTCGAAAAAGGCACCCTTGCTCATAATGAGCATGCACTAAGTTTGTTTGCTTAATACCCAGGAGCAGGAAAGAAGATTTTCAAAGAATTAAAAGCATTTTCCACAACACCAGAACCCCTTGAACCAGGGGCCAAGAATTTATGCATTTTCACTTCAAGATTAATTGAGACCAATGTCTTCCTTTCACCAGAACCACAACCCAGGGGCTATGAATTTTATAATTTTGGATGAGGCACCCTTGCTCATCATAACCAAGAAATTAGTTTCACTGCTGAATACCAAGTACCAGAGAAGATTTTCAAAAAAAAAATTATGCATTTTCACTATTAATAGAGCCCAGTCCTACACCAGAACCCCAGACCCAAGGGCTATGATTTTCAAAATTTTGGAAGAGGCACCCTAGCTCATCATAACCATACAATTAGTTTCTCTGCTGAATACCTAGGGACAGAGAAGATTTTTATAGAAATAATGCATTTTCACTACATAATCAATAGAGTCCCACCTAAACACAAGGACCCTTGACCTAGAGGCCAGGAATTTCACAATTTTAGGAGAGGCACCCTTGCTCATCATAAATTGCACGTAATTTATCTGCCATATACCCAGGAGCAGGGAAGAAGATTTTTAAAGAATTATTGCATTTTCACTATAGGATCAACAGAACCCCACCCTAACCCCTGAACCCCTGACCCTGGGGCAATGAAATTCAAAATTTTAGTAGACAGCTCAATGCTGAATATAATCATGTCGACAGTTTGACTGATGTCCAGGAGTAAAGATAAGTGAATATTGATGTGAGTGAAGAGTGAAGATACTGTATGTGTACTTAAAAATGCGGACTTCATATTTTAGCAGCTTTGGTGCAGACAACGATGCACTAATTCATGAATACCACTAAGAAATCATTTATAAATACAATATACGGCACAGACATGTATACCGCTAATCCATGATTTCGCCAACAACTCCGTACCCAGTGATTGTGCTAAATTTTGAATACGCCAATTTATGTACATGTACAGTATTTAAAATCGCATTTATTTTTATGGTTTTGGCCCCACCCCTTAAACCCCTGGGGGGGGGGGGGGGGGGGGGGGTAGAGACCATGAAATTCAAGATATTTGTTCCCCTTTGCCCATAGATGCCATATGCCAAAATTGGTTCAGGGGTTCCAGAGAATAAGCTGAAAACATTCAGGACGGACGTAGCACAATGATGGACAAAAACAGATAGCAATAGGTCACCTGTATGACTCAGGTGACCTAAAAAAAATTCAATGCACGCTGTAAAATGTTACCCTGTATTCTGTGGTTTGATGGGCAAATTCTTGGGGAGATTTTGCTGTAGTAGATTTTGGCCCAGCATATCTAGTTCCTTCATTGCCAGGGTCTGCTGTTCTGTTGGAGGAGGTTTAGGTTTTTGACTGAACACAGATGTATCTGCAAGAAAGAATGCAATTACATGTAGTTGTTCTTTGACCACTGAACAACTGTTCTTTGTAGTTGTTCAGTGGTCTTCACCACTGTCATTTTCATCATTAATGTAAATTTTCAAAATAATTTATAAATTGAAGTGCATATTCCATAGACTTGTTTTTAATTATATTGACTGCCAGAAATGATTGCTATTGTTAAATATACTTATGTACTGTGATCTGGCTCAGAAAATGAAACACAACTATTTATATGCATTATGGAATCCTGAAAATATTGGAGGTAAAAATGCTTTAAGACCTTCAAATGACCTTGTTAAAAACAACCTTTGTCTACAAAATGAAGTACAAGCTTGCAATGTTTTTCTGTAACAAAGTGATGGCCAGTGACCTTGATCTTGTCTAAACCACCTTCCTTCAGAGTCAATTTAGACCCATCCTTAAGTCACGTATAACCACTCCATGAGCTCCTCCATGAAACTCTGATATAAATTTATTGCATGTACAGTACAAAAATTCTGCACTTTTTAATGACCTTAATTACATGTGGAACTTAACCTAATATAAATGATGACATCTTAAAAATGGTTTTATCAAGTTCAATGATTTTCTGTTAAAAGAAGTCATGGCCCAGAAATATGGATAAACAACCAGAGAAAATGTGTGGTTCCTATAAACTCCTATGGGCTAAAAGATTTTTATGTGGTATAAAAATATCAATAAGAAAAAATGTATGTCAAACAAGAAGAAACATACTCTCTCAATAGAACAGGTAAAAATATACTATTCTGGTACTCTAGAAATGATTTTACAGCTTACCAGAATCTGAACTCATTAATAATGAAGTTGTTGGTTGTGATGTTTGAGGTGGAAATTGGGAGAAATTGCCTGTCATTGGCTGAGAAATAGAATAAGTTGGAACAGGTGCTCTAATTGGCTGATTGAATGCCTGGAATGTTGGCTGTCCTCCGCTCATTGTGAATGCATTGTTCATTACTGGTGCTGTTGTTAAACTTTTTCCATGGGTCTAAAATAATATACTTAAATGCAAACATCTAAACATAGAAACCAGTGTTCTATCCTGATTTTTTCATTAAAATATTTATAATATTGTAGAATTCTGACATCATCCCTCAACCCCTTCAAACATTTTTCTGTTTAGGATGCTAAGCTTACAATAGAAGGTTTTCAATAGTCATGAATTAAGCAAGAGTTATTTCCCTTTGGCTGCCATATTGGAGGTGATTCTTTCATTATTTAACCAATTTAAACTTATCATACTGGCCTTCCAGGTGTAAAAAACATTAATATGTTTGTTAAAGCCTTCAATGATTCATAATTTTTATATTGTAAAGACATTCCTATATCTTCCTGTCACTCATTTTAAATTTGGTAAATCAAAAATAAAATTCCTCAGTTTTACTTCAACATGGTGGCCAAGGGGAATAACTCAGAAAGGAAAATAATAAACTATCAATTCTGAACAATTGGATACTGATGTACACATATGCTGTTCACTTACAGATACAGTGCTAGCAGAGGAAGCTGCAAAAATATCATCCAAGTCACCGAGCAGAGATTCTGATTTAGTGTTGCTGTCACCTAAACCTGAAGAAGAAATGTATATCCTGAAATAAAATCTGTACTTCCAGGGTGAAACATGTATCTACAGTAAAACACAGTTATAGCAAAACACCAGAAACTGCTAAAATTACTTGGTCATATCCATAATTTGGTATATACAGTAAAATATTAATTTTTTCAAATACTAAATGAAAAAATTTGAGTTCTCTTCTTAGTATTCAAAATTGTTTCATCTAAAAATATGTTAATAAGACATGAATGCCCCATCCAATTTTGTACATGTATTTGTATTGCAACATGAAAGAAATGTGCATTGTTTCTTCAGTCTGGGCTAATAGTAAAATATGATAAAAGAAGGAATTATAATTTGCATATTTTTTCATATACAGAAATGGGCCCCATTTTAAAAAAAAAGAATTTATGACTAAGACCAAAATGTAATTTTGCAAATAACTTTCTTCTTTACATTAATTTGAAAATGGTGTTTATTATTTTTTAAAAAAGTTTTAAGAGATTTTTTATGCAAGTAATTGTGAAAGAATTATTGATTTTGCAAGATTTCACATTAAGCTAAAGTTTGTTCTTAATCAAAAGTTCGTGTAAAACAGAGCCCCAATATCTTTAGTTAAGCTGTAGTCTTTTGTAGCATAGTATGTATAAGTGTTGTATGTATGTAGTTTTAGTATCTAAAAGCTAAATGATGACTGTTTAAAATAAATTCTGTGTAGCAAATTTATATACATATATATATATATATAGGTACATCTAAGTATGGTTGAAATTCTCTCACAGAGATTTATCTGTGTATGGAGTTGTTAAAAATACCGGTACCTTTAAACAGTTTCTTTGAAATTGAGCTATATGCAAAGTGTGACAGATGGACAGACAGAAAATGGACATGACAAACACTAAATGCCCAAACCATATACATGGCTGTAATGATTGCTTCATTTGAACAAAATATTTCAGCTACTAAGTACACTTGATTTCTAGTTCAGTTTTTGTACCTAAGGCTAGGAGTTCTTCATCAAGGATTTCTGTGCTGGGATCTTTGGTCTGTGTAGAGGGATGTGAGGGAGCAGACTGGTCTGCCAGGTCAAGTAAGGAAGAAGCAGGATCTAGGGAATATCAGCAAATCTTTAACATATTGGTACATGTAAGCAATTTGTGTTCTGCTGGAATACCTGCACCAAGTACACAGCATATGAAAATTAACCTGAGTAAATTTGAAAATTAATTATGATTACTTTCAAATGTAGAAAAGCCACTTTATTCCTTGATTTGATATAAGTATCTCAAGATATTTAAATTTCCAGAAGATACAGCTGTATTTTTGTGGCCTTTCTGTGTGTTTTATCTATTAAAAATCTAGGGATGTGCGATTTTATCGGTATACCGCTTTTTAATTGTGTGATACGCATCATGGTACGGAGACTAAAATACCGGTATTTAGGTACATAGTTATAAATTCCAGAAATTATCAATTTATTTGTTCAATCTTTCAAATTACAATTACAGGAAGTGTAAACAAATGTTGAAAACGGTAAAAGAAAGGCATCCTAGCATCCAAAATTGCTTTATATTATGTAAATAAAAAAAAAGTGAAGTAATGTTTTTCCGGCATATTTTTCGGAAAAAAATATGAATATTCATTTAAAATCATTGTAAAAATTGCTTGTAAAAATATCACGATATTATCGTAATATTTTGGGAAAAAATCGTAATATATCATGATACGAAATTTTTGGCGATACCCATCCCTATAAAAATTAGATTTAATTCTGACACAGGCATAATCACAGGTGTTTGATTACAAACTTTTGCACTGCTAAAGTGTCTACTTAATGGTTGGACAAAAAAGGCTCCTCGACCTACCTTGTTCTTTCATAAAATCTCTTTTCATTATTTCATTATACATCAGGTAAAAAAGCATTATCTATTATATAAATATCATGGACACATTCTGGACCATTTTAGATTCACAGTTATCAAATTCCTTTAAATATATAAGTGATTTTTAAATCATGTATTTTTGTGTTTGGTTGGGTCATGGTTGAATAATATAGCTTCTACTAAAGAGTATACATGATTTCTGTTTTGTAACTCACCAGAGGCATGGCCATTTTGATTGGCCTTATCTCCCACCTTTTTCTTATACTGAGCCATCACCTGTGTAACCTCATCATTACTCTTCAGTATATCATCTGTAGACAAAGGATTATCAGATATTGATACATTTCAGAAAATACTTCAAACTGTCATTACAGAGTAAACACTGATTACCTAGACTTATTCTACATATATGTACATGTATTCATAAGATGTCTGATGTGTCTAATAAACTAAAAGACTTTTGAAACAGAATGTTTAATGCAGTGACTCATAAAACTTTTTATTATACCTCTACTGTTATTAACTCTCTATAAAATTAATAACATAAAACTGTCTATTTCCCTGAAGAAATACTATTTCCCTCATCTGAGGACTACTCCCTGAAAAATCGGAGCTACTCCCTGGGACTACTCCCTCATGAATATTCATTAATAATTTTAACCAATTAAAATGAACAGTGGGCAGAGTGTTCAGGGAATCTCCTCTATATTGTTTTTAAAAAATATCTGAGTCTCTAGTTTAATAAATTTCCCATGATTGTTTCAGTATAATAAAACAGTTATGGAATGGGTACTCGGGAAATATCAAATTTATGGTCCCCTCGGCAGGAAACTATTTCCCTCGGCGGCTTCGCCACCTCGGGAAATAGTTTCCTCCCTTGGGGAACCATAAATTTGCTATTTCCCTCATACCCATTCCATAACTGCATACTATTTACATATACTTGTGGTTAACAAAATCAATTGAGTTGAAATCTGGCAGGACAATTTTTTTTTAAAGACCTGTGAGAGCATGAACATTAAAGACATACTTATTGCATCATTTTCTTTATCATCTGCATCACTGGCAAGGCGAAACAAATTTGGTCTCAGTCTCTCCAAACTGTCATACAACTCCTGAAAAGACCCCAACTTCTCTTATGACTGTCAAATAATTTAAACATCTATAATGTAGATTAAGACCAGATTTCGTTAAATTAATGCCACAACCTTCATCATATCTAAGTCTGCTGCAGAAGAGGTCTCTGGTGAGTAGTGTTCCAACATCTCCATCAACAATTTGCTGTTGTTGTTAATCTGTTCCAGTTCATTTATTCTACGGGAAACCCTTTCCATCTTGTCAGCATCCTTTGATACAGAATGAATATTATAATTGAATCTTAGCCAATTTAAAAAATTCCAAAAATACAAAATTACAATTTACTGAATATCTAATACAAATAAAAATATATCAAATAAAGTACAAACCTGTTTCACCATGTTCTTGATCAATCTATTAGCAGCCTGTAGGTCTTGAGGATTTTTACTCTTCAACAACTTTGCCAGTAGCTACAGGTAAGAAAGTTTTTTACTGAGGAGCTGATAGTAAATATTTTGGTACCATGTACTGATACAAGATCTCGTAACTTCAAATTACACAAGTCTCACCTTGGATTTTTCTTCATCTTCAAAAGAAGCCGTTCTGGGTTTGGGAGGTGGAAATACATCTATTTTCTGTCCACAAAATAAAATAAAACACTTATATACATATTAATATAGCAACATTTTACTTATATTCTGCCAATAAACATATCCAGTAATAAATTGTCTAATTTGTACTTTGCAACAATACCTCCGTAGAAATAAGAAAGTGGATGGTCATCGAAACATGCATTCTGGCATATTAAACAATCAAAAGATTTGAGGAAGCAATAGAATATGGACCAAAGAATGACTAAAAAACAGTAATTTTCTAAGCTGAAATCATATTTTCTTAACTGTGATGACTTTTCACTACACACAATTTTCTTTTCCAGATCCCAGATTTAATTTACAAATTCATTTTATGTAAGTTAATGTCATTTACACAGGTATACTTCATACATGTAATGTTAGATTCCAAATACCTTAAATGACTGAAGATATTAGTACATACATGTATGTATAAACTAATAACTACTGATATATGTATTAGTACTTGTTCTAGTTGATACAGTTGATATAATATATTACAGGTTTTTATCTACTCACTTTCCCTGAATCCTAAAAATAAATACACCTACTTTGTAGTATCATCACTTACACAAAAAGTATCATTGACGTAATGAAATTCTGCCTTAAAGTATAATACAAATTATATGTCATATACTTCTGTCATTCTGCTAGCAAAATGTAACTGAAACAAGATGCCATTGTGCATTTAGTTAGAGATTACAAGACCTTGCCAGAAGTCATTTCAACCCTATCAATTTTGGATTGCACATGTATTTATCTTCAAAAATTGGCAACTTAGAATTTTTAAGCAGACTTTAAAAAAGGATGAACAGCCACAAGAAATATTATATAGGTCATTCACCATACACAGTATTTAGAAGAACTTAGTATAAAATAGATACTGCAAACACAATTGAAGCTTTACCTAATTTCCAACCAAGGTTGTCTTAATCTAGGCAAGTACAGGCATATGTTAATTTTCATTTATTGCTAGCGCACAATGCTGTATTGACAAATTTTTCCTATGACCACTACCTTATCAATATAGTCCGGGTCTGCTTTGACGATGCCCTGCTGTTTCAACATTTGGTATGCTTCTAAGATTTTGTTTTCATGTGGTAGACCTTTACTCCAGCTGTAGATAAGTTCTATACATTTTTTCTTCACTTTTTCACTAGTTTTACTCCCTAGATACTAATGGAAATAATCAAGATACTTAATGTAAAGTATATATGTAACATCTAATACAGACATGTAATAAACTTCTAAGTAAACATAAAACCTAACATAAAACCTTGAAAACTAAATACACAAAAGGTTTTACCTAGCATATTGAGCTTTTGTTTACTGATCAAAATGATGCATGTTTATTTTGATTAATATTGAAAGTTTCTAAATTCATACATACCTTGGGTGAAACAACTTTAATCATTTCATTTAGAAACCTGAACTTTCCAACTTCCACATGAAAACGCCGACCACAATTTTTCACACATGCCTCTAAAGTCTGCAATTTACATATGTATTCATCAGTAAGAATTTTCAAATACTTCGAGTCTTGTGAAAAAAAATGTCATAGAGTTTAGCCTTTCTGTCAAATTATGACATACAGCTACATCTTTGCAATCAACAAAATCAATTTTGGCAAGTGTGAAAAGTAAGTGTATAAAACTACACGAAACAATTACCGCTAAAGCATAAAGTGCCTCTCTCTCCTGTGGTGACTGTATTTTGTGGGCCAGAAGACGGACAGCAGTCTGTGGCCCTTCTAAATCTTTGTTAATTTGTTCACAAAACTTTGTAATGGTTTCCCAGTCCTCATCTCTGTTAGCTGGATTAGTTGCAGCATCTATATTAAAAATTGCAAAAGAATTACAAATTTGGTGAAACTACCCTCTTTATGCCCTTTTCAAACTACTGGTACATGTATATTAAAATAAATCACTTTACACAGCTTACTGTATGAAACTTATATCAACATCCCTCTGGCTCTATCATGTAGAAGGAATAAAGAATGTGCATAACAAATTGTCTTTAAAATTAAAAAAGTTAAAGAGCTTTGTTTTATTCAGTAATGAATTTGCAAAGATATGCTCTACAATTAAGCATTTTTTTATTTTGCAATATGATATGAATAAAGAACTACTAGACACACTACATGCGTTAACACTGTAAGCCTAGGTGTTAATGTTGTAGTGCTATGTAGCACAAAATGGCCACTGAGTTCTTGAATGCAGCCCAAGACGCACATAGAGAGTTTGAATTCATTCAAGTAAAGGGCTCTCAAGAACAGTGATTATACTGAATGTGAAAAACAGCCAACCATCTGACCAGGCTGGCAAATTTTAACTCGGTCCAATTTCTTTTGTGAGCAAATCGGACATATTTTAACTGTTATGTACAATCTTTGTCTCTGCAACTCTTTTATGCAGGCTTAAAAAATAGCTATCCCCAGTTTGAATACAACACAGAGTACATCATGAATATACAACATGATAAGTTTCTATATAAATGTATGAAGGAATGATAAGATATAAATAAATGCTGAAAGTTCTACATTGTTAACACTTAACTTAGCAATGGCAGTGAACATAAAGTTGTTTTATTTACCTACATAGTGTTGATTTTTTTTTCCATTCAGACAGAAAATCATTCAGTCCTAAGAAAACCATTGAACAATAGGACTGAACATTCTATATAGAGGTAAAAAAAATCCTTATGCATTCACTGCAAGAATAGACACTGTATTATGAAGAGTTGTAATGGAAAATCCACATAAAAGTTGTCCACAAGCTCCAATATATTTACAAATTCAATTTCATCAGAAAGACGTGTTTCAGCTTAGTCCAAAGGAAGTGGCCATAATAGGGCTGTGGTCAAGGTCATAGCAGCTATAGCTTAGGTGCTAGGCTACTCTAGGTTTTTACTGAACACTCAGTGTGAATAAACACTTGTTATGGTTAGGTCAACATATCAGTTAATTGTAGCTCTATGTAGAACCACATACTGCTATACCTGGTAATCTGAAATGCAACCCTGAATCCAGTGTAATGTGTTCAATAGAACGTTCAATATACTTTGAATGTATCAAAAAAAAAAGTTAATAACTTTTAAATATAAATTCGATGGGTTATTATTTTCAGACTGTTGTTTACAAAAACTTAAAACATGGGTCCTTGAGATGACAATTATATCGTTTATTTTATGTACCTTCAATACTGGGTATTTATTAGTCCCCTACCGGTGAAAATGTAGGGGACTATAGGTTTCCTCTGAGTCTGTCCGTCTATCCGTCTGTCTGTCTGTCTAGCTGTCCCTCTGTCTGTCTGTCAGTCTGTCCCACTTTGTTTTCCACACTTTTTTTCTTTGTGCTTTTGAGAATTGATTTGAAACTTGCTATGTTCCTTTATAGTAATAAACTACAGATTAAGTTTGAATTTTATCACGTTTAACCAAAAGGTTCCAGAGTAAATCAGTTTTAAACATTCCTCTTTTTTATAATAGTTCAAGATCGTGTTCGTGCTGCACTATATTAATGTTACAAAACGAGGTTGTCATGTTTAAAATTATTGATTTCAAACTTGCTAGGTAGCTTTGTAGTGACAAACTATAGATCAAGTTTGAATTCTGTCACATTTGACCAACAGGTGCTAGAGTAAATCAGTTTTAAGCGTTCCTCTTTTTTATGATCGAGTTCACGATCGGTTTCATGCTGCACTAAAATGTTCCAAAAACGAGGTTGTCGATTGTGACAGAAGACGGTAAAGTAATATTGTGCATTGTTTTCAGCAATTCCTACCAGCGAATACTTAATATACTTGGCGAAATAATACCAGATGCTATAAAGACTGAATATTTTTCCAGATTTGAATTGTTTTTTTATATCCCTATTTATTTATAAGTTAACGGCAGAGATTTTTTACCAGGTGGTAAATGCCAGGTTAGGGAAAACAAGTAATGTAAGCAATTGTCATGTTATTCATACATTATGTGATTTTAGTCAAACACGTCTTTGTAAGACAGATTTCATTCCAACATTTCATTCATAAACAAGTAATCCGAAATGTCCACATTTGGGGGGGGGGGGCGCAGTTATCATATACAGGGTCTTATAAAATGACATCCTAAAAAGAAAAGGGGATACCGGTAGGGGACATGTATTGCTTATGCAATACTCTCAGAATGCTTGTTTAGAAAGAACGTTCTATCGTTAAAATGATATTGTCCTACGGACCCGGTTTAACGATAGAATTCGTTCCGTGTATTGGCAATGTAGCAAAATAAACACGGGCGGTAACTCGAACTCAGAGCATTTACTATGATCAATCCAGAGAATTCCAAACGTCAACATGGTGTGTAAATTTGAAGCGAGAAAAAACGTTGAGAAAATGAGTTGAATTTTTGTCTTTATATGGATTATATTTTAGGTTAAAAGTCATATACAATCTCAAAAATGTTTGTTATGATTAATTAAGAAGTTATTTTCAGTGCAACTCCTTTTGTATACTTCAAAATCATTTCAGAGTGGATCTGCTCCAATTCGCTACATTGCAAGTATATGGGACGTACTCTAACTGTGGTAAGGACTTGTCATGAGACACAGTTAGATTATTCTAACTAGGTATTTATTATGTTTACTTTGTAATCAATCTACATCAGGTCTGGTACAATCACTAGATTTAGCTACGTAGCTTGAATTACCTACATAGCTTTATTAACCTACCTGAAGTAGCTTTATTTAGCTACTGAATCAAACTTTTTTCTTAAATTACCATTTTTCTCAGGATGTGCAGAAAATTGCACTTTGATGCAGTGATAATTTTCAACTTTAAGCTCATCTAAAAACAATTCATGAAAAAATTACTCTTGGAGATGTGTCTTTTTCTGCGCAATTTCAATCAAAGTTCTACAAGTTTTGGGGCTATATACAACAGTTAATTTGTGACCAAACAATTACTTCTTGAATGAAATAACAAAGAAAACCAGTTCTGGTTAACATGAGCACAATGAGAAGCAATCATACTTATCTATGCCTCATCGCACACAAGGTGGTGTACAGTTACTCAAACAATGGAAAAACATATTTTCCATGAAAGTGTTCAAACGCAGCAATGTTAAAACTATCTCTGCACTGGATTGCTTTTTAAAAATATTAGTGGTCATTTAATTGCGATTTTTTGTCTTTTTTAAAATAAAAAGCAAAATTGTGAAAAGTTGCCTTGAAATAGCTAAATAAAGCTACCCGAGGTAGGTAAATAAAGCTACGGTAGGTAATTTTAGCTACGTAGCTAAATGTACTGATTGTACTGGACCTGTACATGTACGATATCCAGTATTCAGTTCAGAGATGATTAGACTTGAAATAAAATGACACGTACATGTAACGATACATGTTTCTTTGGATTTATGGGGGAAAACACTACAAATCCAAACATGACTTTCTGTAAAAGGTGTACATAATAAAACACAAATAAGAGTGAAACACGACAATTACTTAGAATTATTTCCAGGCTCTCTTCTTCTTCAGCCATTTTCACTTTCAATCACGTGATGGCACATCAACTTCCGGTGTCGTCTGCTTTAATAGCCCGTTTCATTTTTCATAAGTCAGACAATCTCCCTTGCAGAGTTGTCGTTCGTTCCTCTCTCGAACACCTCTGCAATGGGCAATTGGACCGTGTCAAGGTTTTAAGTCACCTACCGGTAAAACCGATGGAGACTATAGGTTTCTTCCTCGTCTGTCCCTCCGCCTGTCTGCCAGTCTGTTTCACTTGAGGTTTTTCGCACTTTTTTCTAAACGCTTGCAGATATTGAGCTGATTTTTGGTATGTAAGTGTATCTTGATCAGTCTGTTGATGAGTTATAGATCAAGTTGGGATTTTGTTCCGCTTCAATGATTTTTGAGGTAATTACGGTCTTTTTAATTTTTAAGGATTTTCAGCACTTTTTTCTAAATGCTTGCAGATGATGAGCTGATTTTTGGTATGTGAGTGTATCTTGATGAGTTATAGATCAAGTTTGGATTTCGTTCCACTTCAATGATTTTTAGGGAATTGCGGCCTTTTGTAGTTTTTAAATTAGCTTAATATCTACCTGAAAGCATTAGAAAGAAAATGCGGAAAACCCTTATAAGGGTTTTCCGCAATTTCTTTCTAATGCTTTCAGGTAGATATTGAGCTGATTTTTGGTATGTGGGTCTACCTCGATGAGTTAGGTCAAGTTTGCAAATATGTTTGGCTTCAATGAATACTTGATGGAACTACGGCATTTTCAATTTTCAAAATTGGGCACCAGATTACACTTGCCGGTAGGGGACTAGTATTGCTAATGCAATACTCTCAGAATGTTGATCAAGTACAAAAAAAATAGAAATATATCCATAGGACGTGAATGCCCCGCCGAGGGTGTATTGTAATGCAACAAGAAAATTTATATTAGTCTATGAAATTTGATGAGAATATCTTGAATAGTTTCTTAAAATTGAAATCTAGAAAGTTGGATATAGATGATAAATTCTCACCAAATTATGTACATATGTATAACTGCATATATCTTATATGGTTTCTTTAAAACTAAGCAAAATGCAAATTTAAGAAAAGTGAGGTCAAGGTCAAAGGAAAGGTCAAGGTAAAAAAAATGTTGATACAGTTGACTAGTTTTCACAAATACATATCATCATATTAAATTTGATTAAAAAAACATTTTGAATGGTTTATTTAAAAGTGGGCTAAACACTAATTTAAAATAAATGAAGTTAAGGTCAGAGGAAAGGTCAAGGTCAAAAAATATTGATGCAGTTGAAAAGCTTACATCAATATGTATAAGCATATGAAGTTTGATAACACTATCCTGAATGGTTTCTTTAAAACTGAGTTAAACACTAATTAAAGAAAAGTGAGTTCAAGGTCAAAGGAAAGGTTAAGGTCAAAAAATGTTGATGCAGTTGAATATCTCTCATCAGTATGTATCAGCATATGAAGTTTGATTACACTATCTCGAACGGTATCTCTAAAACTGAGTTAAACACTAATCAAGGAAAGGTCAAGGTCAAGAATGTTGATGCAGTTGAATAGCTAACTTAAGTAAGTATCAGCATTGAAGTTTGATAAAAATATCTTAAATGATTTTAAAAGAAAAAAACTGAGCTAAACACTAATTAAAGAAAAGTGAGGTCAAGGTCAAAAAGTGTTGATGCAGTTGAATAGCTTACAGCAGTATGTATCAGCGTATGAAGTTTGATAACACTATCCTGAATGGTTTCTTTAAAACTGGCTAAACACTAATTTAGGAAAAGTGAGGTCAAGGTCAAAGGAAAGATCAGGGTCAAAAAATGTTGATTCAGTTGCATAGCTCTCATCAATATCTATCAGTATATGAAGATTGATAAAAATATCTTGGACATTGTCTTTGAAACTGAGGTTTGAACTGAGCTAAACGCAAAGCGCGAGGGAAAGACGGAAGACGGACATGACAAACACTATATGCGCCGGTCATATTCATGGCGTGGCGTAAAAAACATGACATACCAAGGGTTATTTTAAATTGAACTAATGATTTTAGATCTTCGTAAATATCTATCTTTAGGACAAAATTAGAGTGGGCAATTACATGTAATTATAATTATAAGAAATTTTACGCACCCTTCCTTTTTGTCCCCCGCTTCGCGAAAGCGAGGGGACATTAAATCTCATTCGTCTGTCTGTCAGCCTGTCAGTCTGCCCATCTGTAAGTCTGTCTGTCACAAAAACTTTAACCTTGGGCATAACTTTTGAATGAGAAGAGATAGGGCTTTCATATTACATATGTATTTTACCTGTGACAAGACCTTTCCAAATATACAATGATTTCTGACCTCGTGACCTTGACCTTGAAGTTTGACCTACTTTTCAAAAAAATTATCTTTGCTTGTAACTTTGGATTGAGAAGAGATATGGCTTTCATATTCGACATGTGTATTACCTGTGGCAAGACCTTTCCAAAAGTATTATGGATTTTGACCCCTTGACCTTGGAGTTTGACCTACTTTTCCAAATTTTTATCTTTGCTTATAACTTTTGATTGAGAAAAGATAGGGCGTTCATATTTGACATTTGCATTGCCAATGAGAAGGTGTTTCTAAGCATGCTATGATTTTTGACCCCTTGACCTTCATGTTTGACCTAATTTTCAAAACATTTAACTTGATTACTTTTGAATGACATATGATAGGCCTTTCATATTTGACAAGTGGATTTCCTGTGTCAGAATGTTTCCAAATATGCTATGATATCTGATCCCGTGACCTTGACCTTCAAGTTTGACATATTTTTCAAACATTTCATCAGTGTTGCTAACTTTTGAAGGAGCAAAGATAGGGCAATCCTATTTGACACGTGCATAACCTGTGACAAGCATTTCCAAATATACTTTGATTCTTAATCCCGTGACCTTGAAGTTTTACCTACTTTCCAAAAATTTAACATTGCTAATAACTTTTGATTGGGAGAAGATATGACATTTACAATTGACATGTGCATTACCTGTTTCAAGACCTTTCCGATTGTGCACTCTGGTTTTTGATACTTTTTTCACATGTGCATTACTTATGACAAGACCTTTCGGATTTTATTATGATATTTGACCTCATGACCTTGATCTTGAAGTTTGATGTAGTTTTGAGAAGCTATAATCTTTGCCATAACTGTTATTAATTCAGTAATTTATATCTTTTTTGTATAATGCACAGACAAGACAGGACATACAATCAAGACAGTTACAATATGCCATAAATAATGGCATCCCATCCGCTAAGACACCGAAAGCGGGGGACCACAATTCTTTGAATCTGCTTGTTTTTCTAAGTATATACTATTTTGCTATAGTGAATTTTCTTTAGATGCTAGTTGGCCCCATTTTTGTCGCTGTAAGACACTGGCAAATTCCAGATTTTGAATGTTGAAAATATAATAGACAAGCTCAATATTTAGATTCTTTGCACACTATAATTTTCTCAATGTCCAAAAAATCTTTTCCTTTAGTGTATAGAGGGTCGATCATTAAAAGAATTGAAATACACGAAGAATTCCATATTAATTTCATAATCCCCGCTGACGACACAATGAAAACCCGGAAAATTGATATGCATATTAGGCACTCTTAATTTGTAAATATCAAGGAATTAACAAACTTAACTTTCAAAGAGTTATCAAAGAGAAAACAGTTGGAAACAGAAATATGTGGTAATAAAGGTATAAGCCCAAATATGGCACAGTGAATTGGAATAGTATAGTAATCTTGAATGCTTACACTACCTTTTATGGAAAGCACTTTTGAACACGTGACGATGTTTTCGTACCTATTCTCCAATCAATTGAATGAGTCGCAAAGCATGGCGGTCTACTACGTGTTTACGATTCAATAGCGACGTGTGGTTTTCGTCGGTTTACTGAATAATATTTACTTGGTCACCGGAAAAACCGTACAGCTTCTTTTTTACTTTATAAGGCTGAAATTGAAAGATTATATTCCAAAGACACTGTTCCATGCTCACATTTGATATTTGAGTTGTTTTAGATCATTAATAGTTGCTTCAAATACCGTACGAACGCTTTGACGTTTGCGTGTACAAAAAACATTTTGATGATATTTAGGAGTTAAATAATAATTGTGCATCTGAAGTTGATACAGAGACATATGTCTCTGGTTGATATAAGGCTTCACAAAGCAAATTTTGTAAATGTGAGCATAGAAATGAAAGATTTTACATCATTTTCAATATTTCTTTCGTGAATATCAAAAAAGAATTGAAAATGAGTTTCCTAGGAACAATTCAAGTTGCCCTTCATTTTCAACACAACTGAGTTCGTATTGATACTTGTAGTAGCCCATAATGCACTGCGACTCATTCAACAGTCGGTAAAGTAAACAGATAGCTAATTTACATGCAAATTTATGCTTACGTCAGAAAATCTAGTGGTCTCGACCTGTTTAATTACCAAGAAAATGGCACAACTTTTGTGACGATTCAACATTCATATTTTCAACCCCACCCCACCCACCTCCTCAACAAAAAGTTTTGAAACGAGAATTAAACCCGATATCGTAAGATGGATCTAAATTTATTTTTCCAATATTGTTGATTTGTCGTCATCCCGATCGCGAATTAATTGTTTCGTTAAAAGTTTCGATTTTAATTTAATATATATACAGAGTGTAGATATTTTTTTTAATAAGCTTAAGGTTTAACTTTTAAGGTCATAATTCTTATTCACAAACTCTAAAATGCACCATCTAAGTGAACAAATGACGTTCCTATTTCAGCACCCTATTTTCTAATGGAACTGTTAACTATAACTCTGACTTTTTCTTCTGATCGTCAGTGAATGTATTCAGTTAGCAGAAGAGTTGCTGATGCCAGACGAAGAGGGAATTGATTTTCTTTGAGATTTACTATCCTTGATGGAGACGTGCTTGGAGTTTCCATGAACCTGCTTGGTCTCCGACTCCGTGAGAATTGGTGGTAAATTGCTTGCCACCTTCTCCTGTAGCATGCCATGAACCTTTTTTATCTTGCTCGGCTTCTTCTTGTAT